ATGATGTGGATGCCTGGAAGATTGCTTGAAAGCGATAGAGTCCAGCCAGTTGTCTTCCTTTTCATTTAATTATGTCAATTGTTTTATGTTTTCATTTAATTATGTCAATTGTTTTATGTTTTCATTTAATTATGTCAATTGTTTTATGTTTCTGAAACGAAGTGTTAATAAATAAATAGTATAGAGATTATTCATTATGCGTAGGTATTCACACTGTCATGAATCACTCTGTCTACTAACGAACCTCATTAAAATCGTTGGCGCATTAGAGAATTAAGTGTTTACGTTTATTTTATACTGTGGAAAGATAATTTCGAAATAGTTTTATCGAGTGTATTGATTCAATTTGTGGGCACCCACTCTACCTGTACTCTGTGGTCGTCCAGCCGCGGTTTTAACATTGCGCAACCTGACACCGGTTTAGACACGTGACTCTGCTCGCGTGACGTCGGAAGTAAAGCTATTAAATATATAGCTATGATAATGAACCTTTGTAATAGATACTGGAAACCTGATGCTTATGCTATTAAAGGACAAATTAAATTGACGTCTCGGTCAACTACGTAATTGATAAAAAATGCGATGTGAAACTGTTATCGTATCAACGACATTAAAAACTTATTATTGACATTAATCATGGAGTTTGGGTAACGGCTATTTAGAATGGCATTAGATATGCAGAAATAGTTTTTTAGAGATACTTCCTAGAAAGTACAATAGTTCTTTGGGAGCGTTCAAGTATTACGTAACGCAATTTTTGGAGATTATTGACCCCCCCATGTATCTCGCCGTAACGTTTTTCAGTACCCTAGAACAGTACTGTACTCAAGTATAGTAAAACGTTTCGTGACCACCTTGTGTGTCTTTAGTTACTATTTTTTTTTTTTTTTTTTTATTGATAAAGCTTGCCAACGCTCGGCACACTGAGACATTGGTAGAAACAAACACAAAATACAATTTTTAATGTGACAAGCACTTATAGGCAAACATAGCATACATATATTATAGAGATCATAAAGAGATTATTAAACAAAACAAACATTACAAAACAAAACAAACATTACAAAACAAAAACAATTGCTTATCAAAGAAAAAATTCTGTGGTGTAAGTCGAAAATAATATTAACAATAACGCGTAATTCAACCCCCGCCCCGCATCGTAACGTTTTACAAAAGGACCCCCCCCCCCAAAACGCGTTACGTAATACTTGAAGGCTCCCTTTCCTACACGCAAAATCGACGAGACTAGAAACGCTTATTTGTAGTTTAGGATTTTGCTTGGTGATCTAACAGTATATGACAATATAAAAACATGTGCTCAATGAAGCGAAAAATACCTTATAATTATACGTTATACTGTTGATGATATTTATAGCTGAGTAACGCTTTGTTTTTCTTATGCAATATAGGTAAATTATGACACGTAAAATAAGTATAATATTATACGTTATAAACGATTTTTTTTAATGACCCTGTTATCGTGAAGATCTGAGGTCAGCATCGTGTGAGTCTGACACACACCAATAAAACTGAAATACAACAATGCCTGTTTTATTTAGATTATCATGTTTGGATAAAAGAATGTAGAAACTTAACGAAATTGAATTTGGAACTAACGAAACCAGTGGCCAACCTTTTTAGACAAGGGCTTCAGATTTCTGTATTTGTTGCGTAATAATTTTTATTTTCAATACCCAAGTAGGTGATCAGCCTTTTGTGTAACACGGCTTCGAGTTTTGGGTCTAATGCATGGTATGCCGGTTTCCTCACGATTTTGTAAGAGCTAGTGTTAAATGAGCACTTTATAGAACAGGGGGCAAACGGGCAGGAGGCTCACCTGATGTTAAGTGATACCGCCGCCCATTTACACTCAATGCCAGAGGGCTCGCGAGTACGTTGCCGGCCTTTTAAGAATTGGTACGCTCTTTTCTTGAAGGATCACGATTTCGGAACATTTTCGAGCTGGGAATCTGTGCTATTTGGATGTATTCAATGAGTCAGTCAGTTTCGGCATTTCCGCTATGGGACCTATAAAGGCATGCGTAGAATTGTGGATGGTCATCGCAGTCTACGCGCAGCCACTGGTTAAATAGGTTCGTTCCTTCAAGCATCGCGAGGTGACGAGAACAGATATCCTCTCTGACTTACACGCAAACTCCAGCCCGTGGCACAAAGTAATGTTCCAATTTGTACGCCGGAGAGGTAGGAAGAACTAGCAGGGGAGGATATCTGAGTCTCGCTCTATAATAAGGCCGGCTTCGCAGTTTCAAGATATAAGTGAACCGCGTTGATGTCCATAGCTGACATTCTCCATAGCGGAAACGTGTGTTTCAACGTTAAGTTTACGTACCGCGCGATCCCAAGGACTTCAGCGCTATGGATTTTGAGATATTCATATCGAAATTGTATACGAAAAGGTCGAAATGGGCGATTACAGAGTACGGCGCAGTATTAAAGGTTATTCATTGTTATTGTAGATGTTTTATCGTCATAGCTAGGCAGTTGTCCCACCAACGACGAAAAAACCCCTATCTTCGGGTTTTTTCCCCCCCAAAAAACGTCCTATAAGTTTTTTTTTTTGTGGGCAAAAAGGGGGGGCTTCCCCCCCCTTTTGGGCGCCGGCCTCCCCCCCCCCCGGGGGGCCCCCCCCTTTTCTTTTTGGGGGGGGGGGGGGGGGGGGTTTGGGTTCCCCCCCCCCCCGGGGCCCCCCCCCCGGGTTTTTTTCCCCGCGGGGGGGGGGTTTTTTTTTTTTTTTTTTTTTTTTTTTGGGGGGGGGGGGGGGGGGGTTCCCCCCCCTTTCACTTCTAATATCGTCAATATGCACGTCACCTAAGACGTCCGTTAGTCTTCTTGTAAATTTGTCTGATTGATAATTATTCTGTTTACTAACGTGAGCTACAAGGCCAATGCCAATCTCTAACCTCTTATAAGCGATTGTACTCAATGCACCTGTTACACCTCTCTTTGGTTTCGGTTCACAAGATACTTTATGTCTCTCTTAGTGAGAAAATTTAAATGAAACGTAGTTTGGGTTACAAAATAAACTAAGGTCAGGTGGGGTAAATGCGAGTGCCATAACTAGATTGACACATTCATCTATATTTATTTTGTGGTCTTTTTTAAAAATTTAAATTTTTTGTTTTTTTTTTTTTCCCCCCCCTTTTTTTTTTTTTTTTTCCCCCCCCCCCCCCCCCCCCCCCCCCCTCTGGGGGGGGGGGGGGGGGGGGGCCCTCCCCCTTTTTTTTTTTTTTTTTTCCCCCCCCCCCCATATACATTTAGCCCCGTTCATGCATTTACCCCACCTGACTATATATAAAACAAAAATATTAGTTGCTCTGCAAATATTAAAATCTGAACTGTGTAACTTGAATCGCTAAAGCAAAAAAAACAAAAATAACAATATGTTTTACAAAAATGCAGGTAGGTAATCGATTTTAAATCAGGCATTGCGTAACGAATGGTAATCATTTCTTAGCTTTTTAACATTTGACTGCAAGATAACTAACTTCGATACTGAATTTGAATTGCATTGGCACTCCTTAACAAGGAAGTCGATAGAATAATATTATAATAATGTGACAAACTTATAACTACGTGTCATTAATACTCAAGCTTACTTAAAAGAGAAACTTATTAGTATTTAAGGAAAATTACCTTGTTTTTACATTAACTTAGAAAGTATTTCATAAGATGGGTTATGACCAGCTACGCCTCAGAAGAGAGCTAGCTTTGTCAGTGTATATATTTAAGATACTTACGGGTCGGGTTCATAATCTGGATATAATGGAGAGACTGAGTCTACGGGTACCAAGTAAAAACCTGAGGCGGAAATCTCAACTTTTGGATGTACCGCGCGCACATTCCAACTTGGTTAGCGAAGCACCGCTCACGCGAGCAATACATATAATAAATATAATTTCTGTTAAGGTAGACCTTTTTGTTTGTACACTGGCTGAGTTCACAAGAGTTGCTTTCTATATTATTAGTTATAAGATTTAGGTATATAAATATATTTTTTAATGTTTTTTATCTAGGTTAATTGGTGTGGGTATAAATATTGTGTTGTTCTATCGAATTAGTAATTACTGTAAAGATAGAATAATGATATGGAATAAAATAAATTAAAAAAAAAAGATTTTAAGAGAACAAAATGTACGCACCCATCAAATGAATTTATAAATTTAGCATAAATGAAGTTTTTTTACTTAAAATTCCAACTGGTACATGTTTACAAACTTAAAACGGTTATTGCGATTATGGTCTCGTTTATTCCTACAATAATTTTACTGTTTAGTGCGATCCTTTGCCGCGTAGAAGATCTTATCACGGTGCTGTTTTATTCCCGGACCTATTAAAATTATATTGCCTTGATAACTTATGCACTATACATTTTGCGAATTGAACTTTGTTAGACCTGCTTTTGCGTTTTCTGTTTACTCGTGAACTGCAGCTTTTTAATTTTTTATACAGTATAGTGTCATAACACTTAGTTATTTCGACTATGATTTGCGTGTTGTTCCCACGAGAATGTAAGTGCGTGCTCCTATTTCACCATGCCTCCTGCTGATAGAGGAACTTCTTTTTTTTTAAATTTATTTTACTATTATTAACTATTAATTACTTAAGAAGTCATGTGGAACATGGTGTAATGGTTGCAGCAAAATAAAAAACTTGGCGATTAAAAATTGTGGCGGAGAGTTTATTGCCAGTACTTCTCTTCCGTTCTACGCCGTTCATTTGAGAACTGGCAGTATATGTAAAATTAGAAGCATTTAATATGTATTTCTTTTGTGACGTTCATAAGTGTACATGTGTTACCTATATGAATAAATGATTTTGACTTTTATTAAATTTCTTTATTCCATATGGGTTCTACCCACAATTTGTTCCGACAAGGATCTAAATCTATATTTCTAACTATAAAGAAATTAGTGATATTACTAAAAAAATGTTGCGGTATGTGCAAATCATAAAATTTTGTAATACGAAAACTCTTCCAGGTGCCATCTCTGTCATACGGTTCGGAAGCAAGCTCAGCAGAGCTATCGTCGAGTGAGGAGAGCGTTTGCGGACCTTACCTGGAACCTAGCGAGCATAGTGACCCGCTTGACCGCCCAGACGACGGATATGAGGTCAGGACACAAATACAGGTTTTGAAAATACACATGTAAGGGTGCGTCCACATCTGGCGAATGTGCAGTTCGCGAGCCGTTTGCGAGCTGCGCGCTTGCAGTAACCTCACCTCTTTAGCGCAACTCATGCAAAGCTAGTATAAGGCGTGCGCGCACTCAATTCTCGCGCTTACAGTTCCGTTTACTGGCGTGGGTGAAAGGAAGACGCGAGCCGCTAGCGCGCCACCCGCGCGCTGATCGCGTACGGCGCTTAGGTTGCGAGCGCAGGATCGGCGCACGAACAAAAAAGCATGCGCGAGCTGCACATTCGCGGCATATTCGCCAGATGTGGACGCACCCTTATATCATAATAGAGAAACACAGATCGAAACACTTGAATACTGTTTGCGTATCTGATGTATACCAACACTATATTATACTGGACGTTGCTACACGTTATATCCTGGTATCTTTAGAGATCTTAATACTTTTATTTTACTTTAACATAGGATATTTGGTTTTAAAAGGCTTCGCAACAAAGATATTTGTACTGGAATGCGTATAAATCATAAACTTATGATCTTTGTCATACATACCTGTCGTGAAGGCTTAATCCGAAGTTTAATAAATGATCTTAAAAAGTATTAAATTTACATACATAACCGCACGCTCGTCCTTCTTCGTTAGTAGACTGCCGGTAATTATCTTGAGAAACCCAGTTAAAAAACGTTTAAATTTATCTTATCGTTCCCACTGTCCCTGCGGAATGCTCTTCACGTCTCTTCGTCACATTAGCATACTGGGTTAACATATCTATTTTACTGTTATTGTATGTTGAGGTCTTGTAACAAGTTATTCGTAGTACTTAATAATTACATCGACATGTTTAGGTGTATAAATAAGTTGTTTTGCACTGTAAGGGTTTGTATTATTAAATTACGATGGCCTGGTTATAAAATACTAGTAGACTCGGCCAAGCGTTGCTGTGGCTAAGATTTTTGTTATATTACATAGTAGTAAACTATTCAAGAGAAAAGGCAGGAGAACACCAATCCACCATGCTTTTTTGGTGGTTATGCCATTAAATTGTAGCTTATGTGAAACGTTGGTAATTATTTTGATAAGGATCAATACCTAGGTACGAATAAAAAGCCTTTTCTAGCGGTGGTATTTTAATAAAAAAATAATAATAAAAGGACGCTTATTGTGACGTAACTATAAAAGATAGAGACATGCTGTAGCGACATTTTTATAGATAGTGATGTGTTCTGAAAAATTGTACTACATCATTTTGTTCTATCATTAATAGTTTTCGCAGCGCACGCGATTGAAGGTTTTTTGTTTATTTTTTTACACCTTGGGTTAGATTATTCAAGTTTTAGTAAGCATCCCAAATTTTTTTGAAAATGAAACATAACTTTTGTCACTCGGGAATAGTGTAGCTTGCCAACGGTGAAAGAATTTTTGAAATCGGTCCAGTAGTTTCGGAGCCTATTCATTTCAAACAAACAAAAAATCAAACCTTTCCTCTGTATAAGATTAGTATAGATGTTTAATATTCTAAAAATTCATTGCATAACACTTACAAGCTGCCTAAATGTAGCCGGTCTGATAAGTGTTTGATGAAGCCCTTGATAAGCGATGCAGTGTTATTTAATTGTACATGTATTTTATGTTATGTATCATGTGTATTTTTCACAGGCCGATGTAGAACAGAGCAAACTAGAAGCGTCAAATATGTTCAAAACTCGAAAACTTTCTGACTCTTCTATATTTAGCTATGTCTCAGGTAAAAATATTTACTTTATTACATTTAAAGGCGCGCTTTACCCTTGATTATCCGATAAAAGTTTATATAATTTTTTGTAGGAGATAATTGTATAGAAGCGTTCAGCAAAGAATGTCCAGAGTACAACAGAAATGGGGAATTGACACATCCGGAACTGTGCGTCATAGTGGTCGATATTCTTACACAATTGATAGACAAGTAAGTACTTTATACGTTACGGTACACTTTTAAAATGGATACCTTATAATTAATCAAAACGTATACTAAACAAGATATGAAAAATGCCGATGATTATGTCGCTTTATTGGTCTTGAAAAGACCACAATTAAACAAAGTCTTTCACTTAAAAGAAGAGAAAGATAGAAATAAAAGACAACTACATAATTATAATAAATACTTTGCTGCATTACACTTTGTTCTATTACTAAATTACCATTTAACATTGGAACCTTCTATTCCAAAACGGAATTACTGCCTCGACTGGCCTGGGATATCTACACGTCTTTCTCTATCTTTGAAACTACATATAATATGTCCGGTGATAAAAAACCACTGACCTCACAATAAAGAAGCAAAACCAATTAACACTTCTTTCTTCATTGAAAGTGATTATACATATCTGTTACAGGTTATTAGAAGAAGAGGATGGTAAAGTCAAAGATGGAAAAGACGTGAGCGGCGTTCTTGCGTCGGGCGGTGAGGAGATCGAGCGCGTATGTGCGAGCGTAGCGAGAGCGTGCGTAGCTCGACTTGGTAGCGGCCTCGCACCGCCTCGATTGTTACATCGCTTGTTGGCACACGATGCTCCCGCCGCTCGCCTCTTGGCTAGAAACTCAAATACACATGCAGGTACATACAGCATATGACGCAATTTCGTTATCGGCTCGAAATATAGCCAGGTCCTGTGTTTTAAGTGTCCTTGTAGGGGAAAACCTAAAACCAACCTTATTTTTAAAATAAAGTTTATCCCATTTAAATAAAACTTCTTTAACGGGTAAACGCAGATTTGTATTATTTACCGACGTTTCGATTTCATTCGTGATAATCAGATTTAGTAGATTTGGTCACCAACAAAATTATTAATAAAAAAGGTATAGAAACAGCTCAGTTTGTATTCATTTTTGCAGATGATATTCGCGCTTCTCCTCCTTTGGATTGATATTCATACTCGTCATGCCGAAACATTCAAAAGTTTATTTATACAAAATCTTTTGCATTAAGACGTCAACGTCTGCAAACGAGCATAAAATATAGGCTTATATCGTATATTTCAATACTAAAAGTCATTTAAATAAGTTTAGCTACATCATGAGTCAATTTCTTTTCTATTGTTAATTTAAATTCAATGTCCTCTTTTTCAGAGCTTCAACGAAGTATTATCGAACTGATAGTGAAATTGGGGTCCCAAAGTATGGAGTCGTGTGAACTAGCCAGTATTTTTCGGCTCGCTAGCTCCTGGAGCGCGCCACTTGGTCCGCTATGTAGGGCTTTAGGCCGTCTTGCTGCGAGGGACCCTCAGCCGGACTGCGAGTTGCTACTTACAGTCACCGCTCAACCCACAGGTGAGTAACGCCATCGTACTTTGGACCACAGTGGCCTTGGATAAAAGTACAATTTAGTACCCTTTTTTAATCGGCCTTTTGTAGGCCTTAAAATGAACGAAAACAAAACTAAAATAATGACAAATTGCGCGGTTGTTCCAAACAGTGCATTATACCTTAACGAAAAGCCTCTGGAATATATTAAAAACTAAATTTACCTTGGTATAAAATTAACATTCGAAAATAAAAATGAAGAACCTGATGTAGAGGGGCGAATTAACATGAGCTGGAAAAAGTTTTGGTCCATGAAGGAAACCTTAAAAGGGCATTTCCGCTTCACCTAAAGAAAATTGTCTTGGACACTTGTATCTTACCTACTCTTACATACGGCTGCCAAACGTGGACTTACAACGCAAAAATTAAAACTAAACTCGCATGCCAGAAAGTAATGGAAAGAAGCGTACTAAAAATAGGAAAAATTCATAAAATTAAAAGCGAAAAAATAAGACGTAAAAGAAAAGTTATAGATGCCTTACATTATGCCCTAAAACAGAAGTGGCAATGGGCGGGGCATATAGCAAGATACACAGGTGGACGTTAAAGATAACTGTATGGAAAGGACCAAGGGGAAGAAGGAGAAGAGGGTGTCCCAAAAAAGGTGGATGGAAGAAATAGAAGCGGTAGCAGGAAGCGAATGGAGAAAGAAAGTCATAGACAGAGTCAGTTGGAAAAAGCTGGAGGAGGCCTTTACCTGTGAAGGGGTTCCGATCGACGGTACTAAAGATAGCTAGAATATGGCATATATGTAGGATAACAAGATTAATATTAATGTATAAAATGTAAAAAATCTAATAAGCTGTATATATAATTGTTTTGTCATGATTCGGAAATTAAACGGGCTTTATTATTATTTAATCTTTTGAAGTGAACCGTTTTTTACGGATGAAACGCAATAATCATAGAAGAAAAGGGAGAGAGCGATTAAGACCGATGAGAGAGAGTGGGAAAGGGCGAATGTAGCATGAAGCAAATAGCCATGGAGCGAGAGTAGACTTAAAAATTAGTTTGCCAAAGAAGTTTCACTTCTGACATGTGTACTTTGTACGCACGCATTTTTTTCTCAAATGGCTTTTGTCCGAATATTATATTAGAACTTTTATTTATTATTACTAATATAGTTTTAGTTTTCCATGCAATGCTAGTCATTTTAAGTATCAATAGTAAAAGACTAAATGCGTATAGTATTTAATTTCATAGAAATACAGTTACTATCAATGTAAAAAATAATAAAGTAAAATCAAGTATCAAGTAAGTTTAATCCACACAATATATCAAACTTTTAGGGATACCATACTAATTTTTTTGAATTTGCCGCGCTTTTCGTTATCTTCTTTCATTAGCCAGACACTTCCACTCGTAGTAGAAATTTCCAAACGATATATTGTTTTACAGATGAAGAGTCCACATATGAGGAAGTTGTAGGCGCCGTTAATCAGCAGGCAGAGACGAGTGCACGTCGAATAAGATATAAACATTTACGAGCTGGTATGTTAAAAAAACTGTTAGGGTTCCCACCTTCTAATAAAATATTTTAGTATCATCAATTTTTATCGGTGAATTCTCATTCTATTGGGTATAATTTTTTGGACTTAAATATTTGTTTTATATGATTGGACAATTCACACCAATTGACCTAGTCCCATGCTAAGCTGGTGAAGCTTGTGTTATGGGTACTAGGCAACGGATATACATACATATTATAGATAGATAGACATATAAATACATATTTAAACACCCAAGACCTAAGCACAACACCAAATGCTCATCACATCGATGTTTGTCTCAGCCGGGGATCGAACCCGGGACCCATGGATTCGCAGTCAGGGATACTAACCACTAGACCAATGAGTCGTCAAATAATATATTAGTATAGTACTCGTGAGAACTATAATATACTGTTTAGGCCACATATGATATACATAGCAGATAAGCTGTTTATACAGGTTTTATGGTAATTTATTCTGTGGTTGACTCTGTTAAACGCTTGGACGATAAATTTAAAATTCAGATCTTGAGTTAAATTGTTGATTTGATTTTGATAATTTTTAGATACAAAATATCATTTATTCATGTAGCTTAATGTATGCTACTGAACGTCAGTAAAAATAATAATAGTTTGGAATTTAAATTTACTGCCAGTTCTCAAATCAAAGGCGTAGAATGGACGAGTAGAACTGCACTTTTAAATCACAATGCTTTTTTTTTAATAAAATGTTTGTCACCTTCAACCATTACGTCATCCTCACGAGTTAAAGCAATCAATTATTGTAATTAAATACATAAACAATAAAAAACAACATCTATCAGCAAGGCGCGCTGAAATGTAGGCATACATTTACATTACTGTGAGCAAGTAAGTAAAGGGGAATCAAAGCAAAAATTTGGCATATTAAAATATACATTACATTCTTAATAGTTCGCAGTTTTATATTACTTTTTGTATATTAAAATATAATAAATAAAAAAAAACAGGAATAACTTCCCCGTGGAGTAACGGCGCTGTCCGGTGCAGTCTGGAGACAGCCGGATGGGCTCCATGGCTCCAGGGCTTCGGTCTACTCGTTTGGCTGTCTCTCACTCCACCACAACAAGGTAAAACCCCACTTATGCACTTTCAAAATCATGGAATAAAACTTATTATCAATAAATTACTTCACATTTGAAATTGTTACATACAAAATTTATTTTTATTGACAATAAATAAATTACAGAGGATTGGCAAGAAGAGCCGCCAGATGGAGGCACGCCCCGAAAGAAACGCGAGTCAAACGACCTGCTGCACATATTCTCAGTCGGTCACGATTCACTTGTATTTGAACTATGGGCCAATCCTAACAACGGTAATTGTTTTACAGTACCATGAAATTGTTAATCATATTTAATCATAGCTGCCCCCGCGAACTTTGTGTCTCCTTAATGTGATTTTAATTAGCCTAGCTTTTTTAGTACATACCAACATGGAACATTTTGCTATGCTACCCCAGAGACTGTTCGGTTTTCCGGAATGGAAATTTTTTAGGTTTTTCTGTGAATTTCTCTCTATATAAACCTCAGAATACAAGTCATAAGAGTTTAATTAACAAATAAAAAATAGGGGTTGATCGTAGCGGGGGAAAATTAAGGGTTTAAACAAAAAAAAAATTTTTTGGGGTGGACACCCCTTATCACTTAAGGGTTTGAAAGATAGATAGTAGCCAATTCTCAGACTTACTGAATATGCATAAAAAATTTCATAAAAATCGGTCGAGCCGTTACGAAGGAGTATGGGAACGAACATTGTGACACGAGAATTTTATATATTAGATAAAGAACTCGTTACTATTTTGTACCATTGGTCATCTTTTCACATAGAATAAATGCAGCTAGAGAATAATAGAATCTAAGAAGGAGAAGTCTGTAATCTTTTCCTATCCTTTTGATAAAAATGCCTTTTTGACACACCCTCTTAACTGAAATATCATTTATTTATAAATGGAATTTTTTCAAAGAACAGAGGACAAGTCGCTCATCTGATGTAAACTGATACCGCCCCCCATGGACACTCTCAATTCAAAAGCGGTCGCGAGTGCCTTGCCGGTCTTTTAAATTTTGTCACGTTATATTTCCTTACATTGAAACTTTCCACTGGAATGTTACTATATGATATTAAACTATAGGGGAACTGACTGTGCGGCTCACTCGGCCGGAAGACGAAGCCAACTGTGTGTTAAGTTCGGCCACCACTCGCACCGCTATAAGACCGTCGCGTTGGACCTGCCTTGCGCTAAACGTTACTGAGCGGTTGCACCGACGGCTTATATACATACAGGTAGTGTGAACTCTCATGCATAACAGAACATCTTTTTCACTTTCATGGATTCTTTCTTTAAACACGAAGCATTCCCAGGAATTCTAGAAAATAATATTGACTATTGTTTTCTACTGTGTTCAAAGTGTACTTTCCTTGGATCAGATTAATAAGGTCCTTGCTTGTTTAATAGAGCATAGCACGAAAGTATTTTATAACTTTGTGTTGTAATTTTTTCAGGTAACTCTGTATGTAAATGGTCGTGAAAATGAAGTTTTGTCATTGCCTCTCCAAGGTACGCATAAAAACTTCTATACTTAAAAATATGAATTTAATTATTTGAAAGGTTTTAGGTCACAAATAAATGATGTGATTTTAGATCGCATCTCTCCCTTGTCGTGGATTATATATATATGTACCGCAAAGTCTTGCTTACAAAAAATTTCAACTTTTTGCAATTCCATTGTTCAGGTTTTACTTCAACAGTGACAGCAGTTAGTCACGTGGTTGTTCCAAGTTTTAATAGCTAAAGGTGCGCGGTACACCAGCTCACAGAAGTTATTTTCTATGTGTGAAGGTGTAAGAAGTATTTAAGATGTTGTTTTATAACAATAAATCTAATTTTAACATTGCTCTGTATTCTATCACAATGACTCATACAGGTTAATGTTAACAGTGTTAGATACAAATAAAAATTAAAAAAAAAACTAATAAAATCTACCAAGAAACCAAAATTATAGGCACCTGAATCATATTTTAAAAAAATCATACACACCACTACACGCAATACTCGTCGAGCGAGTTTGCTTATCTTGTCGGGGCCGCGTCTAAATTATTTGAAGAAGTCTATTAAGTATGAGGGTGTGCAATTATTTAATCAAACACCGAAATAAAAAGGGCATTAAAGATACATAAAATGACGCTAGTAGACTAAAACTGGGACGGCTGATGGCGACGTGTATCTCGTTTGTATATACATATTAAGTTTCTCATGTAAATAAAAATACATTTTAGGTAATGAGAAAAAAGTTCTCTAAACATTTAATATGAAAAATGTTAAATAGCATAACTATAAAAAATATATATATGCTTATCACTGGATACTCTCACAATACTCGACATGAACATATAACATTCACTTGCATTTGTTTCTATAATTAAAAAAATCTTCTTCAGGTATTCTGGTCCGCAAGGCGACACCCAGTAATATACTCCTGGGTGACGTAAAGCCGGCTGGGACGGGAACGGTTCGCGTATCGTCAATACGTGTGTATCGAGCGCCCGTACTTGCAGCGCCCGCTGCGTTGCATCTCGCGGCCCATGGGCCCGACATGCCTTGTGAGGTTAGCTCTTAATTAGAACACCATCGATACTCGACGATTAAACAAATATAGCATTGCGGGATGCGTTTAGTTAATGCAATCTAACTCATTCTTATATAGTTTTTGTGGGAGTAGATGATCTTGAGTGGGTGTTTAATCATTTAAACGTACACTTATATTATAAAAAAAGCATATCTGCCGACTGTTAAGTTAGAATAGTTAAATAAATCTAAATTATAAACACGACTAAAGGTTTATATAATGTTATATACTACGTGTTATTATATTTTATTTACTTTTAAACCCCTTTAAAATTAAATTTTTTTTTTGCATGTCTAATGCATATAAGCCATGGGAATTCTTATAGTGGTCATTTGTGATGTTTTCTGTGAACAAAATATATATTGACCTGGTGAAATCTATTATTTACAAAGAATTGTGAATCATCCTAAAACATATCGGGAAAATCTGTTTCTGTAATGATAATAAAAGGGTCTATTGTATTATAAAACTAACTCTAAGCCTAATTTTTTTACAGATTCGTTGCGAATCAGCTAACTATCCTTTAGTGATCACGCCGGAACTATTAGACATGGATCTTGATTGGGACCAAGTAAGACAATTTCTTCTAAGACTTTGCATAATGTTGTTATTATGGCGCGTCTAAACGGGCCATGTTTTGCTGCAATTGATGGCTGCACTGTTGGCCACTAATTGCCCGGCCATTACAAAAATATTTTAATGCAGCTGATGGCCAAACAATCTATGGCTGGGCAATGTGTTGCAATATGTCTGCAATAGTATGGCCCATGATGCAGACTCCTAAACGGACTACACAAACCGGCAACAATGGCTGACAAATCACACTTGTCGCAGCAGCTTATATTGTTTTAAAAAGAAACAGAAAAGAAGAGATCGTGGATTCGACCTTTCTTTAATAAGTAGGCGTGAAACTGTAGACAATTTGAGTCTAGAAATATGCCTTGATAATAAATTATTCAAGAACTTTACTAAAATGTCAAAAGCAGTATTTTTAAGTAGTAACCTAACGTCAGCCCAAACAGAATATAGCACAGGCACACTTCACTCATAGCAAACTTCATGTCGCGAGAAAAGGTAAGTGCCATAACAAAGAAGTGACTGAACACAATAGAACTGGCTGTGCAATATTGCAGTTGAATTCGATAGCCTAGCGATCGTCCGCTACCCATCGGGGCAACATCGGCCATATGTGGCTATACAAAACATGTTGGCTATGGCCGGGACATTACTGCAATATTGCATAGTGTGGCTGCTATTGTTTGCAATGTTGCCGGCCACAGTGTTGCAGCCATTAATTGCAGCAAAACATGGCCCGTTTAGAAGCGCCATTATATATATATGATTTTTTTTATATGATTGGACAATTCACACCAATTGACCATTCTAAGCTGGTGAAGCTTGTGTTATGGGTACTAGGCAACGGATATACATTATACATACATATTATAGATAAATAGACATATAAATACATATTTAAACACCCAAGACCTAAGCACAACACCAAATGCTCATCACATCGATGTTTGTCTCAGCCGGGGATCGAACCCGGGACCCATGGATTCGCAGTCAGGAGTACTAACCACTAGACCAATGAGCCGTCGTATCTATGTACTCTGATTTTTAATTCCGTAGAATTCGTTTTTTTGACGTGTCAATGATGGCAAACCTTTTTGGCGGGCACATTTTTCAAATTCAATACGAGTCTGAATATCTGAATCTATACATACATTTTATTTGTTAATGAATGTATCCATTTTATTGGTGCGGTGGTCCACATTAAAAGTGGTTTAACGGCGAGTGATAATTACGTACATTTTCATCACAAACAGTAAAAAACGCACAAGTAAAGATAACATTTTATTTTTCTTAAAAGGTTTACAAAATCTGGAATTAGTAGGCAGTGATGCCAGCTAAAGAATAAAATAAAGTAATTAAAGTTAATTCGATGTATTGTTCGTATTATTGTAATATTTGTTATTTTTGTATTAGGTCACTTGAGTAAGGAAATATTTAGATTTACCTTTTTGTAGGTAAAACATAAAAATTACGTAGCATTTTTTTATTGCCCTCAAATGGGTAAGATTTGTCCCTTTTTCGGTGGAGAACTTTTTTAGTAGCAACACTTATGAAATGTCAGAATTCTACGGAATGAAAAATCAGAGTATAACATATTTCAATTTATGGCTTTCTTTTTTGCTAGGCTTTTTATTTGAATAATGGTAGAATAAATATCAATAACAATTCTTTCTTTACCAGGTCTATGAAATCCCAAGTACAACTCTGCGGGAGTTAAATGATAATCTATTGTTACTCTTCTCTGCCAACTCTCCCGATGTTATGAATCTCTATCAACCACCGGCGCCAACTCCTACTGGTGAGACGAGTCAACTTTTCCATTTCTAATACAAATTTCAAAAAATCTTAAAACATTAAGTAGCTGTTAGCACTTTTGAATGGTTTTATAGAAAAAAAAAATGGTACTTTTTAAATTAAAGACAATTTAGAATACTATTTATTTTACTGTTGTTTCTTTGTATGATATAACTGTAGTTTCTCTAAACCATACTAATGCTCGCTGATGTTCCAGTAAATTATTAAAAAAAAATATTCCGATAAACAGCTCATTTTTGGGTGTGGTGTACGATAAGAGATCATGTCACTCTGAATAAATAAAACTGACTTTGATATATTTATACCCTATGTAGCAGTGTTCGGCGGTCGCAGTGTGGGAGGACGATCACTGTGTAGCAACGGTGTGCCTGAGTCATTGCGGTGTACGTGGGCCGTGCGTGCACGTCCGCACCCTAATCACAATCTACACAATGCTTTGTTATCGCTCGGTGGACCAGAACTCGTACTGTTTTTATATGCCAGGGTCAGTTAAGAGAATTTTATTTGTTAATCTTTCACGATGCAAGTTGTAATGGTACAAATGTCTAATCATAGGAACAGCTAACGATCATAAGCGATAGCGTGTGTGATTCTATACGACTAAAGGAAATGGCTGGTTTTCGGCTACACTTTTTCTTTTTGTTTTCAATGAAATATGATCTCTTCTAGCCAATTTATTATAAGAAAAAGTGAGACAAAATTATTTTTTTGTATATAATATATACTCGTATAGTCTGGCTAATGAAAGAAGATAATAATTTAATTATTTGAAAACTTTCGGATGGCAACACAGAATGTCATTGAATTTCTTAGGTTATTATAATTTATTGTCTTGATACTTCATGCAATTACTCATTTTTATTTCTATTAACTATTTTTTCCGAATAGTTAACAGGTATAATAGCCTACACTTTGTTTTATTTGATAGAATATTTCGTTTCTTTCGCAGGATTTGATTATTCCGAATAAAGCTGTGTTTTATAATAAATATAGTTTTAGTTTTCCATTCAATGCTAGTAATTTTAAGTATCAATAGTAAAAGACTAAATACCTATAGTATTTAATTTCATAGAAATACAGTTACTATCAATGTAAAAAATAATAAAATAAAATCAAGTATCAAGTAAGTTTAATCCACAAAATATATAAAACTTTTAAGGATACCATACTAATTTTTTTTTTTTAATTTGCCGCGCTTTTTCGTTATCTTTTTTCATTAGCCAGACACTAGTCGTTATTTATGTACTCTACTATTTATTCTATTCACTTATAAAAAGTTTACAGCCTATTTTAAATGTTGCTTATTTAGTGTGTTTATATATTTTTGTAGGTCGTAGAAGCAGGAGGGACCGCTGAACAGCAGGCAGCAGCGTTGGGCGTCGCACTAAGTGCTTGCCGAGGTGACGCACGGTTATACGCAGCATTGCACGCTCGTGATACGTTGGACATGTTGCTGCCCATTTTTGCCTGCGCGGACTGCCGTCTTGGGCCACATACACTCGCGGTATGCCTTTACTAAATAACTAATGGACGAAAGTATATGTTGATATGTTGTATTATTTTATTTAGTACCTACAAAATACTACGGTGACCAAATTATTTACGAGTTAAATGTTTCAATTGATTTGACAAAAAGGCTACATGTTTCATACAACCTAATCCATAACAATATTTATTTTTCGTATACATAACAGGCGCGCAAATTTTAGAAAGATATTAGCCAAACTTGTCAAACTAGCTACTAGGTAGATATCCTAGATAGGTATTGATACATGGTATTGATAATATTGTAAGGCCAATTGCAAAATATTTATCCTCGCTGTCAAGTTTCCTAATTTTAACAGATTACAGATTACATTGCGATCATTTCGATATTTCAGATTATGTTCAAAGAAGCTTGTGACAGATCGGTAATAGAAATTAGTGGAGGTGCGGTTCGCGTCGATGTGGGCACACGGGCTGTGCTACTGGAGCCACGACTTCTTCTATTGCTGTTGCGTGCTTCCAGATATCTGGATTCACAGCCTGTATGTTTTAAATTTTTACCCCGTCATTAAGAAAATTTAAGCTTGAAGTGGAATTGTTAAACTGCTATTAACTGCTGTTAACTTAAATTATATGGGCTCTAGTTTTATTAACCGCGTTTAGATTAGATCTCTGAGTATTATTAAATCACTTACATTTTAATAGCCTGTTAAAAGTCTTTATATAATTCCTGTATATTTAAGGAAGTGCAATGGGAAGAAGTGGATCTTAGCTCAAAAGGCGAGGACAATGAAGACAGGGATAGGAAGTTAAAAGGAGAGTTGTGTGGTGGGTCCGTATGGAGTTTGGCGTTGGCTGCGACACGTGCGTTACTGCGGCCAACGCATCCGCGCCGCACTTTTAACGCGTACCAAGCAGCACGGGTACCGCTGCTGCGGCATCTACTGCTCGCTTGCAAGGTATGATAATGTTCGGTTAACTAGTCTAAATCCTTCTATATTTACACCAGTTTGGCCCTTGATATGTTTTTACATATAGCTCCTAATCCAGTAGGGTCTGAAACCAACCATATACTTATTTCAATAGAACCTTTTTTGTAAGTAACCTTTCTATAGAACAAGTGGCGTAACAATAGGGTGGCAGGGCTGGCAAAATGCCACAGGCCCCCGACCCAAGAGGGCCCCTGCCCAAGAGATATTATGTTCTACGGATGAATGTAAAGTCTCCAATACGCATTGGGCTAGCGTGGGGACTACAGACCATTCCCTCTCGCCTAAGCAAGGAGGCCTATGGCCATTAGTCGAACATATACAACGTGTAATTGAGTACGCTAAAAATCTCGAACTTCATTAAAATTAAACTGAGTACAACGTGACGATTTTTACTGATAGGGCCCCATCAAAAGAATTGCGACGAAAGAAGATTTGCCACGGGCCCCAGATGGTATAGTTACGCCACTGTATAGAACTTTCACAGCAAATGTCAATCCTGGGGTTTTTTTTTATGTTTGTGTTTATTCTGTCTTAGGAGCGGTTCCTGAACTCTGACTCTGGTCCGTTGTCTGAACGCGGCAGTCTTACGCTGGTACAGGTGGTCCGCACTTTACTAGATGCACCGCCATTACTCGCCAACATCGCGTTACTCGCAGACTTCTTACTGCTCATGCACCAGGTACGAACTGATTCAATTTGTCGTCAATTTTAATTTCAGACGTAGTCACAGTATTTTCCTGTTAATATTAAAACCAAAGTATGCATATTTCATAACCAATAAATCGCTGAAAAATCCAATACTTTTATTTTCAATTCTTGTAATTTCCGCCTTATTAAAATCTTTTGATAATGTTTTTTTATCTTTATTATGTTATTTAGCAATGTACTAAACAAGACAGAACATTCCAACTAAATGAGGCTACAAATATTTTAGAATTTAAATGTATATTTCTAGGCTAGTGAGACTTTTATCACCCACTCCCGCGCAAATTTCTACTTCCTGGTGACGTCTGAGACACCAGATAGCACGGAGTTCAACCTCTTGCAGCTGTTAAGCAAACGGCGTGGAAAGCAGCAGCTACGTAAGTGGCGAAGTCGGGATACCATTGACAAGTCTAGCTCCTCCAGTATCTCCAACGAGGACAAAGGCTCCCGGGAAGAATTACCCCCGGACACGGACAGCGATAAGACTGACAACGCCAGCCTGGACGCTAAGCAGGTCAAATCTATCATCAATACAAGGATAAAAGAAGATCGGTATGAGTATATAACACTTTCAATTATACACTTCCGTGCTCTTATCGACATTAATATCAGGATTATTTTCAGAAAGAGTGTATCGTCAACTTCAGAATACTCGGACGCCACAACAGCCGGTTAGTAAAACTAGGAATTAGTTATAATATTTAATGACTATTTTTTTTATTAAATGGTGGGAATTGACAGAAATTGGCGCTGATAGTGAAGCTGACAGTACGGAAAAACAGAACGGCAATGACGGAAACGAAGGGACTGACCCGCTCAAAGAATACGTCGTAATTGACTCAGAAGACGTCGCACAGCCCAATGTGGACATATACGCGGACGGCCTCTACCAACAGGTATCATTTTTGGAACGAAGTTCCTTATCGTTGCGAAAGGGGGCTAGACGGAAAATATTAAGACCAAAAGTTGTAACGACACTTTTTGCTATAGTTGTATGCCGTGCGGCGTGCGCGTGTTTTTCTGCCTGTCTCTCTCTCTCTCTCTCTCTCTCTCTCTCTCTCTCTCTCTCTCTCTCTCTCTCTCTCTCGCTCTCTCTCTCTCTCTCTCTCTCTCATGGAAAGCAAGCCATTTATTTTCGTTTCGTCTTTCTATTTCGCATTGAACAGTGTGGTGTCGCGACGATTATCTAATTAATCGAAAGGAACTTCGTTCCATCCGGGTGTCCCTTGACACCTCTAAAGTTTTTTTTAACCACATTGGACATTATGTAAATGTCATATATACTTGTCTAGCCCTGTTGCCCGTGAATATTCTTGAAATTTAGTTGACAGTCAAGTGTGAAACATTTTCCGATTCTAATAAATTGTACTGTATTTTAGCGCAATGTACGCGCAGGCGCCGAGCCAGGTTGGAGTGCATGTTCCGGGCTACTGCTGCTTCTGCGAGACACCGTTTTACATTTGCCTCAGGATATGTTACCGCAGGTATTAATGACTTAGTTGCATAGAACTCTACTACAATTTTTTTCATTATACAATGAAACAAAGTTCTCATTAAAATAAAAGATTTTTTTCTTTAAAATAAAAAAATTTAATGGGTTTTAGGCACTAGGCGGTGCAATACAACCAGAACAGATAGCGGTATTAGCGAATCATCGCTGTGCGAGCGTACGAGCGGGTGTCGTACGCGTAGTACGTGCTTTACACGCTCGTGACCCGCGTACACTTGCCGCGGCGCTGCACAACCATTTCTACCTGCACCTTGCCAATCAGGTATGAACAAAACAGCTTTATGTTTATACTGAAACATCCTTTGTTTGTGATAAAAAAAATAAAAAAATGTGTGCGTGTACTAGGTGTACACACGTAAGAAGTGAAACTTCTTTATGACCTTATTAGAAACTATTTCTTTACACACTGTAAATTTGTATACACTGCCTAGCATACAATTTACAAATTAATTGCTGCAAATTGCGATTAGCAAATTTCAAGTCGAAAATGTAATCCGTTGTCAAACTTCAAAGTCAAAAACATACTATATGTCATATTTTAACGCCGATAAAGTTTGACTTCGAAAATGTAATCCGTTGTCAAACTTCAAAGTCAAAAACATACTATATGTCATATTTTAACGCCGATAAAGTTTGACTTCGAAAATGTAATCCGTTGTCAAACTTCAAAGTCAAAAACATACTATGTGTCATATTTTAACGCCGATAAAGACGTTTGACTTCAAAAAGCAACATGGCGCGTAACGAAAAAATGTGACGCGTAACGCAAAAATGTTACACTAAAATTTTTTCCAACCCCGATAAAGAAGTTTCACTTCAAAAATTTGTTTATTTTCTTATTTTCTATTTTTATAGTAACTTAATAATTAATATAAAAATTAAACTAATGACATAAACCTAAACCTTTTTATAATTAATTATAAATGTTGGCGATCTGCCTTGTCTGCCTATCCATTTTAATATAGTAGCTCGAAAAAGAGTTAACTTCACATTCCAAAGAAGTCGGCGGTGGTGTGGTAAACACATTTTTATTTCAATATATACTTGTCTTTTATCAACATGATGGATCATAAAAAAATACACTTTTTATTGAATCCTTACCTACAGAAGTTCTCACCCTTAAAATCGAAAGACGAAAAAAATGCAAATGCATGTCATCCTACTATTGACACTCAATGCTTTAGGTTATAGAGAAAACTATATATAGATTAGACTTTAGAGAATGACAGTCGTACAAATCTTTTTCTAATTATGATAAGATATTTAACGATAAAATTAAAATTCCATACCTCATTACCCGTGTATATTTTTAGTATTCTGGCTATGGTATGGTTATTAGTATATTCTTTACCTTCAACAGATATCGATGTATGACGGGTCCTGGGAGCTGGCCGAAGCTTGCGTCGCTCTGCTTACGGGACACGACAAGCCACTCGAGGACCAATTAGATGTAAGTAAATGTAAAGTTAAGTATTATTACGATTTATAAATCAAACTAATCTTCATTTTTATCAAAATTTACCTAAATCGCATTGCAAGCTTAGAATATTAATTAGTACTATACATATTTCATTAGTAACTTAGTATTAGGGAGCGTTCAAGTATTATTGACCCCCCCCATGTAACGCGCCGTAACGTTTTCTGTACCAAAGTACAGTACTGTACCCAAGTATAGTAAAACGTTTCGTGACCACCTAGTGACTCTTTATACGGTGTTAAACTTACCATTATGTGGTGTAAATTACTGGAATGTCGGAAATAATATTAATAATAACGGCTTAATTCAATCCCCGCCCCGCATCGTAACATTTTACTTAAACGCTCCATAAGGTGGTGAATATTCTGTATAACGTCAGTTCAGCAATGCACTTCTGAGTGGCAGTGTACATCCATGGACGGTGGTATCACTCAACATTAGGTGAGCTGGAGGCTCGCCCGCATGTACACGCGTTAGAAGTTATACTTCTTTGGCGTAACCAGATAAAAATCTTTTCAAAAAAATTATTCTATGTTTGTAGAAAAACCACACTAACAATAGGAAAAACTAACACGTTGACTATAGCTTACTTCAGGGTGTCGGTTTTTTGTGACGTTAAAATCGTAAAAATTTAACTCTCACCATTTTTCCATAACCCGCCAAAAGAAGTATAACTTCAAAATAAAGAAATAATGTAAGTAGACCAGCCTTCTATGCTTACTAATTCGAAACAGCTTAGAATCGAACTCAGGACTATTGTGGTGGTGGTAACTAGAGAAGAATTACCACATTTAAAAAAAATGTATTAAAATTAACCAATTCTCCTATCCAAAGTTGAATGATATGTATGTTAGGAGGAAGTATGGAATGATCCGGATTCGTGTCGTATGTGTCCGCGAGCACCCCCTTTGCTTGCAGTGCTGCCTACTTGCCTCAACGATGTTCCTCTCGCTCACAATGTACTAGCCGTACTGCGCAGACTTGTTGAAAAGGTACAAATTTTGAATGCACATACTAACGGGTGGCGCAAAAGTAATGGCACTAAAGAAAATTTGTTTATTTTTTTTATATGACGATAGTTTTCATTCTGTTGTTGAAAATGGTGTAGTGAACAAATGTAAAATACACTGAAAATAAACATAGACCGTTTTATTCCCCAAGAACGTGGAATTATCGTGCCAATGTTCTTACGGAATAATTCATCAGTAATAAAAACACAACGTGAATTTCGTCGACGATTTCCTGCAAGATCACCCGATCTGACGAGTCCAGACTTCTTTCTTTTGGGTTTTTTTGAAATCTCGGGTGTATGTGAACAAGCCACAGACTCTCGCAGCTCTAAAAGAAAACATTCATCAAGAAATAAGGAACATCGCAGGAAGTATTACGGCAAGTTATGCAAAATGTCATAAATAGGGCTCAAATGTGCATTAACTCTGGAGGTCACCATTTAAAAGACATCATCTTTAAATCCTAATGGTACGAAATTTAATGGCACAAATATACATAAAAAAAACCTAAATCTCGTTTTCTAATTTAGAAAAAATGTTATAGCTGAACCAAATAGGGTCTTTACTTTTGCGCCACCCAGTTTATTGGACGTTTTAACAGATTTCTAAAATATCATCATCAAGTCACTTACATTCTTACCATTATTTCGATTATATCGATTATTCCCATTGCCGATAAATGTTTTGATTCCTCATACAATAAGACCATAGTTAGAAAGGGTCTAGTTATGAGGATTAAGTATTTAGAACGAAGTAGGGACTTTTTTTAACGTTTTGCAGTACCTCTACCATACCACAAACTAAACGACAGTTATTATTAGCTCATAGATATTCCATGATTTATTTTATAAAATCTAGATATTTTTTTTCGTTTAGTCCAAATACGGCTACGGACCACTGCTCAATTTTCATTTTTAAGTTATTTAATATGACGTAAACTCAAAAACACCGTAAAGTTTGACATTATTAGAATATTTAATATTTCTTATTTGAATATTTCTTAATATTTCCAGTCATCAGTAAAGTCCCTACACGAAGTGGCACTCTGTGAAGTAGTAGTGCGATGTATAGCAGGAGTTGGAGACTCAGGGGGCGAAGGCCGGGACCTATTGCTAGAGGAGTTGGGAGATCTGTTATCCCGTTTTGCTGTAAAGGTGCTTGCTGGAAACCACAGCACACAGGTATTACCTCTTGGTTATAATGTACCTTCGTAGCGCCCATTCTTTTAATTTGTTTACAACACTATAAACTCCTTTTTTATAAACTAATGATAATCAGTGGCGCTACAACCTATTTAGGTCTGGGCCTGGGATTTCTGAATTTGTTTCATGATCATTTTTAAATCTAATAGGCAAGTAGGTGATCAGCCTCCAGTGCCTGGCACACGCCGTCGAGTTTTTTTGGGTCATAGACATGTCGGTTTCCTCACGATGTTTTCCTTCACCGTTCGAGCGAATGTTAAATGCGCACATAGAAAGAAAGTCCATTGGTGCACAACCGGGGATCGAACCTACAACCTCAGGGATGAGAGTCGGACGCTGAACAACACTGCTCTCTTTTTTTATAAACTATGTATATAATAATTATAAATAAATAATTAGCTTTAAAGTTTGATATAAGGAAATATATTGTTTTTTTCTGTGTAATAGTATTATGTGACAGAAAAAATGCCATGCGTTTGTAGACAGGACTGTCAAGAATGACTAATTTTTCTTTTGAATGAATATTTGTTATTTTAAATCTGTGTATGTTACAGCTGATCGTAGATATACATCACCTATTGAGCTACATAGAGCGCGGTGGTGTGAGTGGTGACGCAGATGGCAACGGGGAGGGATGCGCTCGCGCAGCGCGAGCCGCACAAGTGCAGCTCTACATAGGACAGCTTGACCATCTTGAAACCCGACTACACCAGTTCCACGTGAGCGCGGCTGACAAGATAGCTGGTTACTTTTCTAATGGTCAGTACTTAAATTCTTTTACTAAAAGTTATATTTAAGCAGGAAAACAATTGTGAATTAAATATAAGAAAATAGATAATACATTGAAAACAGAAAAATTCACATTTCAATAGCATAGTATAAATTCAGCGTCAAGCTAAAATTATTGAATACAGTACAATTCGCATTTATATAGCCGTCCAAACTATAAAGATATACATATCTAAATAAAATTAACTATTTATTTATATGCAGTAATATATACTATAATAATTTTTATACGCAATGCCTTTACTGGATAATGCCGAAAGGATCATCAAATAGAAAATCAAGTGTTTTAAGGGTTTTGGATCGAATTTTATACTAGAACCTCACGTCTTTAATTATTTTGTAAACAAATGGCACATTGCAAAGATATAAACTTTCGCGTTGTCATTGAGGCTTTATATACAAGTTACAACAATATAAAATATAGATTAACGATAATTATTACATTTTAAACATTGATATACAAAAAACCCAAGATGCACAGTCTCGAATAAAAGTAACGCTCGAAAGTGTCCCGAAACACTATTTCTGTCCATAACAGTATATGTTACAAGCATATATTATTGCAAAATCAACCTTACGCGAATTGCTTAAAGTTGTTATTACAACGCAGTGTATACGTACTTAAAGCAATAAAATTTTACGACCGACCGTGGTCGGTAGGACAAGGGGTATTGAGTGGAGTCGAACATGACTTTTTTATTTACAACTATTTAACATAATTTTAAATTTATCCGACTTTTCGGGTGCTTTACAGCGCGAGTGGTCACGGTGACTGAAGACAAAAGGTGTTGGATGTTAAATAGTTGTAAATTTATAATAATACATAACATTAATCCGGTTAAAAAGTTTTTCTTTAAATTAAAAAAAATGTTAAATTGGCTACCTCCTGACCCACACTTTATATAGCGTAAATATATTTGTCAAAAACTACACACAAAAAAGTTCAAGAGTACATAAATTTATTTATAAAAAAAACACAAATAAATAACATCGACTCCACTTATAGACGCGAGACTATTTGAAATGAGCGCACAATTTAGAATGTTGCGCTCATTTTTTGAGGACGTTTTTTAGACGTTGATTGTGCATCTTGGGTTTTTGTATATCAATGATTTTAAAGATATATTTAAAAAAAATTGACTTAACAAACCTGTTTTGTGGGCGCAGTACTTTCGTCAGCTGTAGAGGGCCGAGGCAGCGAGCGCGGAGAGGTGATGTCTCGTCACGGAGCCGTTGTATCACGTGCCGTTGCGTTCTTGCTTTCGCGTTCGCCGCGTCACGAGCTTGTAGACGAGGAGAGGTTACTGTTTCGCCTGCTGGACACACTGCTTGCTGGTATGTTTTCACTTTTTTAATTCTCTTTTGTAACCGGTCAGTATTATTTTGTTTTTCATTCCAAAATGTAAAATGAATTACTGCTGAAAATTTTGGTAAATTGTTAAGTCATGGAAGTAATGCAGATAGAAAATGTTACTTAGCCGTTTTTTTTAAAAAAAAGCTTGTTGTCCGTGTAATATATAGAAGTAGAAGGTATAGCATTAAAAAGAAGGAAACTATATTTTCCACATGTCATATATTAAAAATACTGGCTTTTTTACTCTTGACATGTCATAAACTTGAAGATTAGGTAATTTTATCACATTATGCATATCAAAACAAAAAGAGTTACCACTGTTTTTGGGTCAACGGGATGCTTTAAATAATATGATATTATTTTCACTCTGTATTTATCATTCACGTACAACAAAATATTAAATTAATGCTTTAAAATGCTGAAGTGAGTGCCTAATTCTGGCTTTATTCTATGGGCGTAACTCCAACGATTTTAGAAATCACCACGCTTATAGAACTCATTCCTAGTTCGTACTTATAGTAGATATTGTTACTCGTAGGCGTAAGTGGCAGCGGGTCAGGCCGCGGGCGTTGGCGTTGGGGCGGCGGTGCCGAATGGGCGGCTTTACTCGGCGAAGTGTTCTGGTGGGCGGCCAGCCCTGCATCGGCCGTACGTTCCCTACAGCCGCGGCTTCTACGCACCCTGTACTGTGCGCCGCCTAACGCCAGAGACTTGCTTGCACCCAAGGATCCCTCTCATATGAGGAAGGTATGTTTACAATACCATCAATTCTTGTTTCAAGATATATTTGGCTGTGCTTTAAACGAGATTGGGAAATAAATAAGAGAAAAGACTCTTAAGAGCGCCCTTCCCCGTCCGACGAACGGCAATGCGAGCATGGCCAAAAAGCTTGTTGTTTCATCCAACGCAATGTTAGAACAAGAGGTAAAGCAAAAGAGATAGCATAGATAGATAGCGAGCCATTCATAAAAATGGCTAACAAGCAAGTGAGAACGCGATAACATTGAAAGAAAAATAGTGTGCGGAAATTTCATAAAACTTGTTCCAAGAAATACGTGTTTTTTTCATAAGCCTTACAAGATTATGAAAAAAAAGTTTTACATTTAGAAACTCCATTACATTTGCAAGGTTTCTAAGCAAATATTTCTTTCCGGTTACAATTAATGGGTACATTATAAACGCCCAAACTTCATATAAAATTTGTGCATAGAAGCAGATTTTTGGAGGTTTGTACCGAATTTGTTTCTTAAAATTTTGATTTCGCGTTTTAATAAAAACCTTGATAATATGGTGCACAAGACGCCTATTAGTTCAAAAGTTTCAAAGAATTATCTGTTACAACGCCATAATCACGTACGAGCGTTTGTATGAAAAGATAGACGGGTTAGTCGATAGCTCTTAAATAAACAAATTTAATATATATATATATATATATATATATATAAGACAATAGTCTGTATTTCAATAGCAAACAAGAGGCTAAATAAAACTTCTATTTGTTTCTCTGTAAATAAAGAATGCAATTTTATTTATCGAGTAGGTTACACACTGATACAATCCTTACAAGACTAACACAATCTTACCTGTAAATAAAGAAACGACAATAAAAGTTCATTGTTATCACCTCTCGATGCATATAGCTTAACTAAGTATTAAATTAATTTACAAATAAGATTAAAATACAATTCAACAATCTCAGCATATTTGCCCTTTACATCTTTGACAATGTCAGCTAGCTTGACGTGACACGACGCGGCTCACTCACGAACTAGCAGTGCGCGCGAATATTCAAATTAAAGAGATCATTCTCTTTACATCTCCCTCCTCCAGGATGAGAATTGCTCCAGTAATTCTCATGGTAGCCGTACATATTATTCAGCGTTATACATCATTTATTCCACCGTCCATTCGAATAAGTTTTGTTATATGGTATAAGCTTGTATTAGTTTTTGTTCTGCCTGTGTTTATTTTGTAAATTGTATTCGATATTTTGTCTGTTATTTCAAATGGGCCGATTCTTAAATTGTCCATTTTCTTCCTATTTAATTTGTTTCCGTTTTCAACATATACTAGTTCTCCTATGTTGAATTCCCATTGTGTTCTGCCTTTATCAAATAATTTCTTATTATATGCATGTGATCTAATTGATCTTTCAAGTGCTTGTTGTCTATTTTGAACCCATGTTTCTGTATCTAATGGTTGTCGTAGTTCTTGTGGCAAAATACTGGTGACTTTTCCTTCTAATAGATATACTGGTGCAAAGCCTGTCACTGTGTGCTCGGTTTCATTATACTTATCTATACATTCTCTTGCAATTGACGTCCAGGATTTCTTTTCATTCTTCTGATTTATTTTGCACCTCATTTTGTTAACCAGTGTTTGGTTCAATCTTTCGTTGAGTCCGTTTGAAAATGGTGTATCTACCGCAGTAAATATTAGTTTTACATCATTATCTGTCAAAAATTCTTTGAATTCTTTTGAATTTAATCCTGGATACTGATCTGCTAGTAATATCTCAATGTTTTCCGTCTCCAGAACTTTTTTTACTAACTTGATGAAATCTGAAGCATTTTGCGTTTTTGATGTCAGAATGAACGCAAATCTTGTAAAATGATCAACTAACAAATGTAGGTATTTCTTTGTTGATCTTTGTCCTCCAAAGCCACCAATGGTATCTATCGACATTATCTGAAATGGTTTTTCGGCTGGTCCCAGATGTGACATTAATCCGTATTTATCCTGGCCTCTCGATTTATTTTTTATACAGGTTTCACAATTTTTGCATATTCTTTTAATGTTTCTCGTTAAATTCTTTGCTGTATAATAAGGACTGATTTTATTTATCATTTGGTTGATCCCTAAATGACACCATTCGGTGTGTGTTTCCTTTATTAATTTCACACTCGCTTCTTCAGATAATATAACTTTTTCTCTGTTTCGATCTTTTTTGTATAGTATCCCATTTCTTTCGATTATTTTGGTTTTCTTTTCCTTTATTTTCTCGTTTTTCTGCTGATCTGCCTTAATATCATCTATTGTTATCAGATTCACCATTTTTAAAATTTCTTCATCATTATCATTATCTTCTAATACTGGGTTTCTACTGAGACTGTCTGCTTCCGTATTATTCTTCCCCGGAATATATTTGATGTTGAAGTCATATTGTGACAAATAAAAAGTTAATTCACCAAGTTCATCGTCTGTTCTAGCCTTTATGTTGAGGTTTTCTAGTGGTTTGTGATCCGAAAAAACGGTGAACTTTCTTCCAATCAACCAATATTGCCAGTATTTGATAGCTTCTTTTATTGCCAAGCATTCAAGGTATATTGCCTTCTTTCTTTTTTGTGAATCATTGAGTTTTTTTGAAAAATAACCAACTGGTTTTTCTTTACCATTTTTTTGAATCTGTTTTAATATTGCACCTATACCATTCAACGAGGCATCCGTGTAATTTGTAATAGGCAGGTCTTTATCAAATATTTCGAGTACCGGTTGTGAGCATAATATATTTTTTATATTAGAAAAAGTTTCTTCACATTCTTCTGACCATATAAACTGGGCATCTTTCCTCAATAATTTATGTAGTGGATCCAATAATATCGAACTATTTGGTATGTATTCGTGGTAAAAGTTAATCTTTCCCAGAAACTGTCTAATATTCTTTCGGGTTTTGGGTGTTGGGAAATTTCTTATTGAAATAATGTTATCTTTGAGCGGTTTTACCGTATTATTTCCTATTATATGTCCTAGGTATTTCACTGATGTTGCTGCAAATGTGCATTTTTTAAATTTTAATCTGAATCCTTCTTTTATTATGGCTTTGAGTACTTTTTCTATGTGATCTATATGTTCTTCAAACGATTGTGAAAATATTAAGATATCATCAATGTAATTTTCTGTGAAGTCTTTCAAGTTATTATTTCTTAATATATTTGATAAAATTCTCTGGAAAATGGCAGGTGATGTTTTCAATCCAAATGGTAGGCAAGTCCATTGATAATGTCCATCCTGTGTGACAAATCCTGTCTTTTGTCTGTCCTCAATACGTAGTGGTATAGACCAAAACGCGGAATTTATGTCCAGTGTGGTAAAATATTTACAATTTCTTGCTTTAACAATCAAGTCGCTTATCAATGGAAATGGTTGTGCTTGTGGTATGACTATCTTGTTTAGTTCACGAAAATCAATACAGAGTCTCGATTTTGTATTTTCGTCTCTTTTAAATGCCAAGGTAACTGGTGCTGCGAATGGGCTGTATGATTCCTCAATTAAGTTATTTTTTAGTAAATTACCCACCTGTTTTTCTATTTCTATTTTGTCTTCTAATGTGCAACGATATGGTCTTTTGCTACAGTACTTGTCCACCATTAAGTCTATCCGGGCTTCATAATCTGTTACTGTACCTACATCATATTTGTCTTTGGCAAATATAGTATTATAATTCTCTATTAAATTGTGTATTCGGGACTTTTGATATTGTCCAAGTGATGTAGATTTGTTATGAAGTCATTTTTATTCACATGCTCATTAAAATTGACTTTAATTTCCTCTATCTCTTCAAATGCATTCATAGTATTTATCTCCCTCTTTGTCTTTTGTAAAATTTTTAAATCTTCATTTTGAGCTAATTTAAATTTTTTTATCATATCTAGTCCTATAATGAAATCTTCAAAATCCAGTTTGTCTACAATAAAAACATCAACATATTCTTCTATATCAAAAATCTTTACTTTTATTCTTATTAAACCTTTTGTGTATGTCACACCATTGACAGTTCTTAATAATATTCTATTTGTATCCACAGAATCATTCTGTGTTCTAACTAACCTTTTGTTTATCAGAGACACTTGTGAGCCTGAATCATATATTCCATTTATTTGTATTTTGTCTTCTAATAACATATTTATTTTTATCAATGGTGTGATTACTCGTTTTTTGTCTCTTCGCTTAGATTTACTTCTATAACCGAATTACTTCCAATCCTTTTGTTATCTGCCCCTTCTTTTTTAAACCAACAAGACTGTTCTGGGTGGTATCGATTACCCTTATTTAAACACTGACAGGTTTTGCATGGTTTTTTTCCTAAACTGTATTTCTTATTGTCATCTTTTTCTTCCTTTTTTATTTTGAAGTTTTTATTATTTACCAAACTTTCACATTTACTTATTTCATGAAGCAATCTTGTTGAGGTTTCACACTTTTCAGGATCAATTCTGTTTCTAATAAATTCAGGTAAGCCGGCTGCTATAAGTGTGACCAGACTTTTCCCGCCAATATTTTCATCCATATCTAATAATAACTTTTCTTTTCTAATGGCGTATTCCATCAGTGATCCTTCTTTATATTTGTAAAATATGGCATACATTCCCGAACTCCATCCTTTATCGGCAAATGTGTCCAAAAATTTATTTTTCCACTCGGACCATCCAGCCTCGATTTTCAAAGTCTTCAATGTTGCCGAGTGCCAATCTGCACATGTTTTGTCCAAAAATAATCTTAATATTTCTATCTTTGTTGTATCTTCCTCAATCTCAAATCGTTTACATTCATTCTCGAATATTTCTATCCATTGTTTCGCATTTGAGAATTTACATACAAATTTCTCAATCATGAATCTTTCTGATATATTTTTCAAATTTAGTAGACCCTTTTTCTGCTGTGTGGATTCTACAATATCTGTTTGTTTTTTTTCTTCTTTTAAATATAGGTCGTTAAACATTAAATTATTATCTTCATCAAAATAGGCTTGAATCATTTCTTCTGTACATGTCATCCATATTGTTCTTTCTTGACCTCTTTGATTTAAACTTTTTCTCACTCTTTTGTAGGTTTCTGTTTTTGTTAATGCTATGTGACGACTCGCGTATTTATCAGTCTCAGACAGTGTATACTTTTTTGTCATCTTCTGTTGTAATTGAGGTTATGGCAATTACACTCGTCTTATTGTCAGTTTGTGATGCTTCAAGCTTAAATGCAAACTGCAATTTTTGTGCCATTATAAACAAGTATTGTCGTTTTATAAGACAATAGTCTGTATTTCAATAGCAAACAAGAGGCTAAATAAAACTTCTATTTGTTTCTCTGTAAATAAAGAATGCAATTTTATTTATCGAGTAGGTTACACACTGATACAATCCTTACAAGACTAACACAATCTTACCTGTAAATAAAGAAACGACAATAAAAGTTCATTGTTATCACCTCTCGATGCATATAGCTTAACTAAGTATTAAATTAATTTACAAATAAGATTAAAATACAATTCAACAATCTCAGCATATTTGCCCTTTACATCTTTGACAATGTCAGCTAGCTTGACGTGACACGACGCGGCTCACTCACGAACTAGCAGTGCGCGCGAATATTCAAATTAAAGAGATCATTCTCTTTACATATATATATAAAACAGGCTCAATAGTTGCTTGATTGCTATAGAAATAACATAACACTTTTGGTTACCTTTTAATTTTATTTCCTTAGCTTTCGGTATACCTGTTGACGATGATCCGTCACATCCACTTGGCAGCGGAGAGCGAAGAGGGCGGCGGGGAAACTGTAGAGTTAGCTATCACGGACTGGGCTCGCGGTTGGGCGGTGGGTTCGCAGGCTGACTTGCCAGAACGACCCTTACCCGCGGAGGCCGAGCGTCTCTTACGTGCGGATGAACTACGCTGGGCCAAGACTTATTATGCCCACACGCAGGCGCAGCAGATTGCTAAGTACGAGTCATTTATTAAAATTTCAAATTATCTGCTGGAAATCACTATGGAACCTAATGTTTTAAAAATTATATGAATGCTCATATAACGTTTTATTCGTTTTAAATCTATTAAACTAGCACACCGGAGCCGTATAGTTAATATTCTTTATTTATTTTATGTCTCTAACTAGCTAACCCGGCAAACGTTGTTTTGCCATGTATATTATTTCTAGGAAACATTTTTCTAGTTCAATAAAAATAACTATCTACTATAATTAAAAATAGGAGTTGATCGAAGAGGGCTGAAAATTAAGGGTTGTATGTATTTTTGTATGCTGTATCATAAAAAGATTAAAATAAAAAATGTTGTCTAAAAATAATAATTTTGGGGTGGACACTACTTATCACTTAGGAGTTTGAAAGATAGGTAATAGCCGATTTACTGACTGAATATTTTTTTATAAATAATCATAAGAATCGGTCTAGCCGTTTCGGAGGAGATGGGAACGAACATTGTGACACGAGAATTTTATATATTAGATTTTCATGTTATAGAAAGTTTTTACAAATATCTTTTGTTTATAGGGCAGTATTTAGCCGTTCGGCATTGGCGGCGCGTGTTTGCGAAACGGCCATGGCGGCGACACGGCGTGTTGTGGACGCGCAGAACGCTGAGCGAAAAGCCTTCCTTGACCACCTAAGGGACGCGCACGCTCGCCTCGCACGTGCACACACACGTTGGGCCCGCACCCTCGATGCGCATGCGCATGAAAGAGGTTTTTAAAATTGTTTTAACTTAATCACGTTATATTTATACTACTAAGAATCCGAATCAGATATGCTATTAGAAACTAAAAAAGTCTTGAACTTGTGACGTACGGGAGTCACAGTTCGCGCTAAGTCTCGTTTTTATATCTCACACTTAGTGGTGAATAGGTGGTAGGAAAAGATTGAAATAAAATATGTTTTTTCATTTATGCATTGTTATTATCACATTAAAAAATACATACTTTGCTCCATTGTCAAGATATAAATTGTGATTAAATAGGTGTGTGGCACCGCTCCCGCGGATATCCCATGTCCTGGCAACTGGACAGCACTGAAGGACCCGCACGTGTTCGTCTACGCTTGCGACGTGCACACCTACGCTTACCGCCGGACAAACTACAGCCTTTACATAGGCATAAGACTGGTAAAATAACTAATATATGGATTAAAAAGCAATTATAGAGAGTAAAATAAGTATTTAGGTTAATAATTACAACTCAGTGTACGCTAGTAGTACCCGACTCTAGTGAGATGCCAACGCGTATTTCGAATCGAATGTGGTTGAATGGATGCCTTCAGATCTCTTTTGAAAAGTAATAGTATCTTAAATGAAACTCTGAGCAGTGTTGGCCTAATAGTTTCAGCGTGCGACTCTTATCCCTGAGGTCGTAGGTTCGATCCCCGGCTGTGCACGACTTTCTTTCTAAGTGCGCATTAACATTTGCTCGAACGGTGAAGGAAAACATCGTGAGGAAACCGACTTGTCTTAGACCCAAAAAGTGACGGCGTGTGTCAGGCACTGGAGGCTGATCGCCTACTTGCCTATTAGATTTAAAAAAAATATCATGAAACAGATTTAGAAATCTGAGGCCAAGACCTAAAGAGGTTGTAGCGCTGATTAAATGAAACTCTAACGGCCCTTATTAAGCGTATGATACTAGCGGATTCGTTACTAAGAAATAGTAACCATTACTATTTTTTATATTAAAAAAATCTTATTATCTATTATATATAGAAAACGCCCAGCATCCGCCACCACTACGCAGCGTATTATCAGGCGGCGGGGGTGGGGCCAGAGGGGCGAGGCTTCAACGCGGAGAAGCAGTGCAACATATGTCTCGGGTGCTCCACGTTAGCGTGGCTGCTGAGACCGCCGGTGAATTACTCCTCACGGACAGGGCTATACACTTTGTGCCAGATGCAACGGCAGACAATGCTGAGGGCATAGCGTGGCCAGCTTCTAGTGTCTATGCCGCTGCCACGCGACGGTGGTGCCTGCAGGAGCGAGCAGTTGAGGTGATTAACAAATTGTGAAATTATTGTATAAATATAGCAGTTATGTAATAGCAGTTTATGCAACTGTCAAATAATAGAGGGTATTAAAACATGAGTCATTTTCAAGTCACTTTTAATCATAGAATATTTAGACCATAAGGACAAACACTTAAAAATATCCGATAACTCTTGAAAGTAGGCTAGGCTAACAAAACGTTTTCGGAAAATGAATTAGCCTTTTTGTTCATTTTCCAAGTCATAAAGTCTTGGTAACATTTGTCGTACGCTTTTCTTGATGTTTCTGGCAAAAGACTATTCGTCAGTTTCGTAGCTGTTTCTAGAATGTCAGGTGGAGTTAAATTTTCATCAGTATCGTCGGTGTTGCATGTCATTTTTGCTACTAAACTTTTATCCAACAAAATATTACTCAAATTCGTATACGTACGAAATAGCGCCAAAATGGAAGAAGACTGTTATTGGTCTATTGGCTCAGAACCAGCGCGCTCGCCACAGGTAATGTGTACTTAAATTGAATTAAAACCTCCTTGGTCGGGACACATTGTACTTATATAATTAAAAAATTGTTTTAAAGCATTGTTTTGTTAGAAGTATGTATATAAAATATGCCAATAAAAGTCTGTATTTCATTTCATAATTAGAATATTATTACCGAATGAGATTATATAAAAGCCCTTATTATAGCCGTAATTTGTTTGTTTTGATGATGAGCCTAAGTTATTAAATACTTAATTTAATATTTCTTAAGATCCAATTTGTGTTTGACAAAGTTTAAGAACTATTATACCAAATCTCTCAGACGTCATCAAATTTATACATTTTCAAAAACTATAATCAGAAACTGTACTGTAACTTCAATCTTACCTAAAGATAGGTTCATTCAAGCGGGGGCAAAATAGGCAGGAGTGCCCTCAAATAGCCCGTCCTTCTTAACATGGAATTGAGGCCAAACAATTTTTTTTATTATCTGGATGTGGTTGATTGAATGATTAAACAAAATAACCCGTCGTAACATGTTATTAAAAATGTATGTTTATAGGTGTTCGTTCGTCCGTCGCGAGCGCATCTGCTAGCGTTTGAAACACCAGCCGATCGAACTGCTTTCCTTTCTCATCTTGCTCGCACGCATCCACATATCAAGTAAGATTTTGTAAATAAAATTTGTTTTTCAAGAGTCATTAAATATTGTCAGTATAGGTAATACGAGTTATCCAGAAAAAAATATTTTATAAAAAGTCCGAGAGTCAAATAGAGTTAATAAATTAACAATAAAACACAAAACCGCAGTGGCTCTTACTCCATTGGGATATTACGATACGGTAGACTTTAATCTACCAATTTGTGTGCAAATATACCTAAACAGTCGACTTTCGATAAATTGACTATCGTTAATTTGAATCTCTTGATAATTTGAAATTGTTTTCCAAGTCTTGAAAAATACTCGATACATTGAATAAAATTAATGTTAATTGGTCCTCTCGGTAATTTGAAGGTAAAGGAATAGTATCTTGCTAGCGAACATGCGATTATTTGAAGTGTTTATCATGCACACACCTGTCAATTGTTTTGGAAATTTGTGAATATTTGTATTGAATTGTTAATAATAATATAGAAATGATAAATTTTGATTAAACTCAAGTAAATAAGAGTTTGATTAAAATGTGTCTCCAAATTTCACCTCCTCCCCCTCGTGGCTAATTAAACGCTTGTTATTTTGAACTTTTGGTAATTCGAAATTGATCTCTGGCCCCTTGAGTTCATATTATCGACAGTTATACTGTTGTTATGTTGTAAATCTTTTAGAAAATTTTGGTGCTAGATTGTTAATAAAAGTGGTCTGAATATTAAGTCGTTTCTGGTAGGTTTTATTTAAAAAAAAATATTATTTATAACAACAGATGAGTGTTCTGTTCCAAGATTTCACAAAGATCACACACATTCGCTTAGTAAGAAAATTTTGAATTTAAGGTAGGCTAGTTGTGTACGTCGTGCTACCAAATTTTTAGAAAATAATCTCTGCAAATATTAATATATATACTATATAAATTCGTGTAAAATTGATTCGCTAAAGTAAAGAAATAAAAAACATCGGTTTATTAGACAATTCCAATTTTAAATTTAATAAATCGTCTTATTTCTTAACATTTTAGAACGGAACCAGAGAGTTTAACAGAAGCGATGAATCAGTGGCGAAATGGCCTCATCACAAACTGGGAGTACCTGATGATTCTAAACAGTCTTGCGGGTCGTTCATACAATGACCTGATGCAGTACCCCGTGATGCCTTTTGTCCTGGCCGACTATACCTCTAAAATCCTTGACCTGACAGACCCTGCGTCCTTCAGAGACTTAAGCAAGCCCATGGCTGTCCAGAATAAAAATAGGGAGCAGCATTACATCAATACGTATAATGTAAGTATAACAATTGACAGGGATTTTCAATATTTTTCATAAGCCATATAGAATTTTTAAAATCGTGACAAACCTTCGAATATTCCCGTGTATTTTCTCATTACAAACATTCGACGTACAATATTTTTATTCATTTGTATGATTAGGCATCAAAATATTTTTTTTAATTGTTACCTTGCTGATTGGTACCGTATACGAACGCGCATATACGTACGAAAATACGCGCAACCACCGATTGAGTCTATAAGTATTGAGACTTTTCTTAATGTATTATATTCTTTTTTTTAAATCTATCAAGTCTAAAAGGTTTGTAGTGCTTAAGTAAAGTCGGGTCCAATGCTTGAAAGAATGCGTCAGCATCCCTTCTGTTTGACGATCGATCAAACGGGACTAGGCGGAGAGAACAGGGAGGTCGGACCTGGGCTCTCTGGCCTCTCGCCCCCCGTCCTTATGACGACGGCCTCGCAGAATCCTACTATTAAGTATACTAGCCAGTCTTACATTAACGTACAATTCAGGACCTGAAAGCCGCTCGACGCATAGGCTGCAGTCCACTATTGTCCCGTCAGCCACATCACTACGCATCGCTGTACTCCAACTCAGGCGGTGTACTACACTATCTCGTGCGGGTACCTCCTTTCACCGAGCAATTCCTTTCCTATCAGGGTGAGTCACATAAACGGTTAGAATTTTTTTCTCTGGCTTCTAATAATAACCATAAATCTTATTATTGAAATTTTAAATTATGGATACTTATTCGATTTTCTATTAAATAAAATTTCGACGACTCGTCTCAGCTGATATGGTTAGCGAGAGACTAGTAATAAAAACACTGAAGAAAATTTGCTTAAATTTTTAAAATCACAAAACAACAAAAACTATGGATACGTCAATAAAAAAAACCAGTTCAGTAGGAACTTTAGTTTACTTCTCCGAGTGGTATGAAAATTTAGCTAAATTGTATATTGATTGGTTACAGACAACAACTTTGATATGCCAGACCGGACGTTCCACTCACTTGCAACTACCTGGCGCCTTATCACTCACGACTCTCCCACCGATGTCAAAGAACTCATCCCTGAACTCTACTATCTGCCCGAATTGTTCTACAACAATGAAGGTACAGTGAATATACGTTATTTGCAACAAAATTACCTCAATTTTTTTTAATATTTCAGAACATCACATATTTCAAACTAATTTTTGTATACTTGTAACAAACTTAAGAACTACTGGTCCGATTTCAACCATTTGAATGAAGAGTATATGAATATTTTCCAAAAAAAAATAATATCCCATGGCATATAAGCAAATCTTTTGAAAGACCTAAATTCTCCACATAGACCGTCCTTGTATTTTGTAAACTAGATATCTTGACCGGTTGCTTCTTTTACAATGGTACACGGGTGCGTTATGACACACGGTACATAATTTCTTAACATTTGGCATACATGATGCCAAAAAAGGCTATATTGATTTTTTCCAATCAGAGCTAAAAACATTTAACGACTATTTGGAGTTCAAATGACCTTTGGATTTTAAATGACGATCACGAAACTTTGCTTTGCATAAAAATATTGGTAGATTTTCTTTCTTGAGCTCTTGAAAGATATACATGTTTTTTTTAGGTTTGGAATTGGGAGTGCGTCAATGTGGCCTACGCGTGGATAGCGTAGAACTTCCACGATGGGCGGCTGACGCTCGTCTCTTCACGTTGGCACACCGCCAAGCCCTTGAAGCACCACATGTAGCCGAAGGTCTTCCACATTGGATCGACCTTGTCTTCGGCTACAAGCAGACCGGCCAAAACGCCGTCGATGCCATCAATGTCTTTCCAGCGTGTGTTAGTATCTTGTCTCTTATATTCTGTCTGATGCAATGTCAACCAAACCATATTAAATGTTGTTCTACCGTGTGTTTGACAAATTACGCACAAAGCGTCTGTTTCATTTGTATGGAAATTCTTAGACGCTGTACGATTTTTTAAACATATAATATTGGTTACGTTCAATACTTGGTCTATGTACTCTTCCTAAGTCATCGGGTGCTTCAATTAATGGAGGATATTATTATGACTATATATTAAGCACTCGCGTACTAAATTCGGAATAATTAAATGCTAATTGCTATAAAACAAATGCTAAATGAATGTTATGTAAATGTTGAAAATGAGCGAGTGCCTAGGTGCGTCTGGCAAGTTTTAATTTAAATTTATACTCGGCCTTTGGGAGGGGTGCGTAACTCCGCCGATGCTTAAACCGTAGAGGTAGTCGCAAGCACGACTTATAAAACGAGTGATACGAAAGCCTTAGTGAGCTAAAAGACACAAAATCGTACAGTCTAGGTTTCGAGCTTAAATTACAAGAAATCGTACCTACGTACTTTAAAATGGTTGCGTTCCGATGTACAGACGTACTACGGATTTGACCCAACTGCGCTGGAAGACGAAGTGGATCGCACAGCAGCTGAAGCGATGGTGCGTACGTACGGACAGGCACCCCGTCAATTGCTTCGAGCGCCACATCCGCACAGGGCGCCGGATCTTGCAAACCACGCGCAGGTGAGCTAAATGAAGCCCATATTCCAATTCCAATATCGTAATCCTTTCGATCGCTGTCATACCAAACTTTGTATATTTAACTAATATCTGAGATATAGGTTTAAAACATAACTAAGGACAAACCTATCACGTCAATTTGTATAAATATTTCACAAAATATATAGAGAGGACAGATTAATTACTTTACTTAACAAAATTTAGTCGTCTTCGATATATTATAGATATATATAATAATAATAAATAATAATAATAATATAGCCTTTAAATTCCGAAACTCTGTCATTTTATATATCTGAACTTTAATATATTTTCACTCCAGTATATCTCGGAGTTCGGTTTGCCTCTTGGCAAAGGCCTCCTCTAACCCTTTCCACTGTTCTCTATCTTTTGCGACTCTTCTCCAGTTGTAGCCTGCTGTTAGTTTCAGTTCGCCCTCCCATCTCTTGCGTGGTCGACCTCTTCTTCGTTTTCCGTCTCTAGGGTACCATTCCGTCACAATTTTGCTCCATTTTTCATGAGGGCTCCGTAGCATATGACCCGTCCATCTCCATTTCATTTGGTCAATCTTAGTGAGAATGTCTGTCACACCTGTTCTAGCTCTTATGTCTGAGTTTATTTGTTTATCTAATTTTCTTATGCTCAGCATGCTTCTTTCCATGGCTCTTTGGCAGTGTGCTAACATATCCCTGTGCTGGTTAGATAGTGCCCAAGTTTCGCAGCCATAGGTAAGGCAGGGTAGGATACATGTGTTAAAGACTTTTCTCTTTATTTTTTGCTGAAATCTGTTGTTTTCATGATCTCCCTAAGTGACCAATATCTTTTCCATCCATTTGCTATTCTTCTTTTGATCTCTTTGGTGGTTATATCAGTTAGAGAGATAATTTTCCCCAGATAAATGTACTTTTCAACGTATTCTAGAGGTTGATTATTAAGTTTTATTTCGTATGGGACTGAATTTGATAGTAGCTTTGTTTTGCTTGTGTTCATTTTCAGGCCTACTTTCTCACTTTTTTTGTTTAAGTCTTGTATCATTTCTACAAGTTTATGAGGGTTCTCTTCGAACAATACAATGTCGTCTGCAAATCGAAGATGATGTAGTTTTCTCCCATCTATATTTAGTCCAAATTCATTCCATTCTAGTTTTCGGAATATGTTTTCAAGCACAGCAGAAAATAGCTTGGGAGATAATGGGTCCCCTTGTCTGACACCTCTTTCGATTTTAAATGTCTTTCCGAGTGTTTCCATTTGTATTCTTGCATTGCAGTTAGCATATATTTGTTTTATGATGTTTATATAGGCCCCGGATACTCCTTGGTTTTCTAAGCTTTCCCATATCACTTCATGTTTGATGCTGTCAAAAGCTTTGGTGTAATCTATTAAAGCCATATACACTGTTTTGTTATATTCACTGTATTTTTCTATAATTTGTTTGACTGTGTGTATATGATCTATCGTTGCGAAGTTTTTCCTAAATCCGGCCTGTTCCATTGGTTGGCTCTCGTCTAATGTGGTGCTTAATCGATCTAGTAATATCTTGGAGAAAACCATATATAAGGTATAGATATATATAGATTATATTTAATAATTACTAAAAAATTTGCTAATTATTGTCGTTAATCCTAAGTGGATTAAACATTTCTAAAATAAAAAACGCTATTTCCTTCACAGCAGGCTTCATCATCAGTATACGCAGGGGTCCGTGGTGTACGTTGGGGACGGTATTGTGGGTCACCAGGCGCGCCTCCCGCGAGACAAGTTCTACGACGAACGTACGCGTCTGCGCACGCGTTATTGCCGCTACCACACGCGCGGGCTGTAGTTGTCTCGCTCGAACGGACTGCACTAATGCCTGTGCACGGTACGTATTTTTCTTTACAAAGAATAGTAGTAATACAATAATTATTAATTATTTATTTTTATAATGCTTTCAAAACATCTAATGTTAATTTAAGAAAGTTTAGATTTTCAGTATTTAGTAGACTTTTATTTATTAAATACTATAAATAACTGTAACAGATTTTTGAATATTAGATATTTTTGTCCCGTTTGCTGAAAAGCTTTCGAAACGTCAAGGGGTCCGTAACACTGGTCACATCAAGTGTATATGTGTCCACAGTTATCTGTCTAGTAATTGATATTGTTTCGAGCTAGGGGATCGGATAGAAAATGCCGTAGATTTCTTCAAAGGTTTATTTCCAATTAAATCTACGAGGAAATTTACGCCCTTCACACAGTACTTTATCACTTGTATTCACTATATTCGCACTTTATCTCTTCGGTGTTTATCTCTTGAAATCAACAAAACTGAACTAATTGGTCGCGTTTCGGCTCACTTATATATCCCTGGGAATAATCTTGAACGATGTTCGAGAACTCTCTAGGCAGGAGCGCTACTGAGTAGCGATCGCACTTTTAGAACGTGCGTACTCGCTATCTCTTTCGCACACTGCTCCGTCCTTGTCGTACGGCGTTCTAGAGTGCTCGGTATAGCTTCGAGAAGGTTCTGATCTTTCTTCTCTCTCGCGTATCATACCGTCCTCGTCCCACACCTAGAAAATTCCTTCATCAAAAGGGTATAACCAGGCCTGAAAGCGGGTTTCCAGAAAAGTGTACCCCTCGACTACACTTACTCTGAAACTGCCTTAAAAAATGTTTCAGCCTCCTGAAAACTAGGGTAACATTATGTAAATAACGATTTTCTAATAGGTATGTGATTGATCCTCTCCTGAAACGGTCAGAAATCACATTTCAGCCTGCTGAAAAGTTCTCTAACTAGTGGAAAAATCTAGAAACATTGCAGTCAACCCGTCTTCGTAACAATATTATGAGTAGAGCCTACATGGCCTCATAGATGTAAGAAATGCGCGTTTATAGCCAGACATAGACCACAGACAATGTTTAATCAAATTTATCACATTTTTCTTCTTCTAGATGAACCATTAGCGACGGGATCAGGAGCAGCTAACAATAAAAACAGCTCGTCGAATAGTCCCAATTTAGGGCTGAACGTGGGATTGGTATCTTGGGGCCACGGTGACGGTGCAGTACGACTGCGTCGGCGCAGAGACCTGCCTCCGGATATCTTGTTCCATACACCACCTACTGAACAGGTATGTATTTCTGCCACAAAAAATTTGTAATCTTTTTTAAAAGTTCTTTTCGCTTTAGGTTAATTGAACCCACCTATGTTTAACATAGTTAATGTTGTTGCTTATATCATATATATATTTAAAGATTTCTATAAAAAGAGCATCGTGCAGACACATTACTGTGTCCGTTGATTTGATAATTTTAAATACGCCATTGAGAAAAGCAAGACTAACGTTTGATATCCAATTTATGTGAATGGAAATTATTATAATGTTTAAATCATTCACTATATTTCAGATAACGACAGTATGCACGTGGCAGGAAGGCAGATGGGGTTGTGCATTGGGCCTTAGCGGTGGGGCCGTAGTGGTGACACGCGCAGAGTGTTGTGGTGGTGTGCTTCGGGCTCGTACGAGGCAATTGCACGCGCACGCCGCACCCATTACGCACATTGACGCGCAACCAGCGGTCACGCTGCTCGTCACTTCGAGTGAAGACGGACTCATTGTGCTTTGGGACTTGCACGAGTACGTAATCTACACTGCATTGAACTTATTTGAGTTTTTCGATGATATTGAATATTTTATTATTGAAGACTTTATATCAAATGCTTTAAGCAATCGTGACGTCTAACAATCATTAGTTCCTAAGTCAGTTTTCAACTTAACTTTGTGTAGTTCTCGTAAACGCACAGAAGTTGTATATTTACAAACCTAACTAGCATAGCTACTACAAAAAGCAACTCATGACAAGCAAAATCAAATAGCAACCTACCCCAGGTTTGCGAATTAAAAAAAAATCTTACTAATGTTATGGTGGTAACATTGAAAATATATTTCAGGTTAACATACATCCGTACTCTTCCAAATCGTGACATGTTGCAAGTTAGCCTTGTAGCGATCAGCCCTACATTAAGTGACGTGGCGAGCGTACACGCGCCCGCTACCAGTGACGTACGCGCTCGTAGAGATGAGTACGCCGATAATGAAGGAATGGAATACGAACACGACGATACATACAAGTATAAGTCGCTGATTAGAGTACACACAGTTAACGGACGATTTGTTGGTGAGAATATCATCTAGCTTTTTTTTTAGTTTTAACTGCTTTACATTTTGCAAATTCTCAATTAAAATTAAATTAGCCATTAGGCCAGAAAACAAAATAAAAAATACAATCAAGAACAAGAGCGAATAACGATTTTTGCTTACATAAAGCTTTGCTTCATAATAATCTAATCTCTATTGAGACTAGGCAGGATTTTATTTTGTTATATAAGTCTCAATGGCGTATTTAAAATTAATCATTGTATATATAGGTAGCGTCAAAGTGGCGGAGATAGTTAAGTGCGTGCGTTACTCGGCGTGCGCGGAGGGCACCAGCGTCAACTGCATAGCTGTGGGGCTTCGGTCGGGGGCCATCCGCCTGTACTCGTCGTGGGAACTTCGTCCTCTCGCGCACATTCCGCCACCCCAGCCCTCGCCCCAGCCCCACCCACACACTGAACATCTTGACCGGGATACGCTCAGGTACAAAAAAGTGGAAAACGTTTTTGTTTAAATTCATGCAAATGAATCAGAACTTTCAAATTTGCAAGTTGGAAAGTAATTGTAATCTTAATGCTTTGGAAACAATTATTCTGCTAAAAATTAACCTGGCAGTACTATTGCCAGGAAGCTAAATTATTTTTTTTTTAAATAACTTTATTTTATTTTAGTTTATTCATTGAAAAAGGTTTGCCCCTCAAATCTGTAATGAACGGTTTTCAGCATATCCTTCAGCCATGATAACGAAATCTTGTTCGCGAGCTACGCAGATGGCGGCGTTGTAGCGTGGGAAAGCGTGGATCACGCTGCAAAACCCTCGCCCGTACGTATACTACCTGCGCATGCCCTACTCTAAACCGGAAAGCAGAGGAAAATACATCCGAAAATATGCATAGATTTATAATGTATTGTAATGTCTAAAATTTGAAAATGGAACTCGAATATTCTCCTAATGACTTTTATGTCACAGATAACAGTCTGAATTTAAGAATCCAAAATATTATGTTTGTAGCTTCTGTAAAAGCTAAAAAGGCAGGTGCTATTTTCATATCAGAAATTATATTGGAATATTTTGAAATTACTATTGTTACAGGGTTTTAAAATTGTAAATTCTTGCCTTTTATGTTAACCAATAAGCATACAGTCTTCCTACAAAGTGGAGATTCAAAATCTTCACTACTCGCTATAGTTGTTAAGATAAATCTTGTAAATGTGTATATAGGTATTTTTTTATTTAGTTAAGTGATCAGAGGCATAATGTATTTTTAATAATTGTTTAAATGATTTTCAAATAAATATATGACAAACACTATTTTATTACACTATTGGCCATTAAGGTTTTTAATTTTACATTCCATTAGAAAAAATTAAATGCTCAGTAAAGATTTGTTAGTTTTTTAAATAAAAATTTTCCCATGTTATAAAAAAATATTTTAATCTTTACTAGTATCAAGACTTGATTTTAGAAGTAAGTAAGATAAACTAAACGATCATATCGAATTATATTGCTCTCAATCTTAGATTAAGAATAAATATATTATCTGTCATATTTAAAAGACTACATGGAATGTCTTTCTTATATATAATAAAGAGAAGTATGCTATTTAGATAATATTATGATTCGTTCCTTGTTGATTATTCTTAAGTTGTATAATAAATACTTAATAATTACTTGTGTTTGTTACTTCATCTTTGAATATCCAAAAGTCCACACACAAGTGTTGCCATATGTAAAGTGAAAAGCAGGAGCATATAATATAGGAAATACTAATCACTAACGATTTTTCCTTCATGTATTAAGTTTGTTTTTAAAAATTTGGTGGTTCTCAGCGTTACGTCTGTCTCATCGATAATTTACTTTCTTATGTAAAGCATCTGACATTACTTACAGACAATATACGAATTTATTCGGAAATAATAAAGTTTTTTATTTCGATACAACAGCTATGTTGTAAGTTTATTACTTGCGATATAAAATTACCGATGAAAGATTTTTTTATTTCTACCGTCCAATTAGACAACACATCTTAGCACAATTTACATAAAATTATAACAAACAGTGACTTATTTAACCTATAGGAAAATAATTCTTAATTATATATATTTTACAAACAGTAACATAGCTTCATGAAAGACATCTTGTCATTAAATATAATGGCAAGTTCTCATTATTTGCGACATTTATCATGGCAACCAATTTATGTCGTCACTAATTAATTGACTTTACAACATTTATACGAACTACACACTCAATTTGATGGTATTTAAAAGGCCTAAATGGAACTAGTAACCGTATTTGACAAAAGAGTTAACGACCACCATGAAAAAACGCTCATTAGTGTAAATTAGTGTCTTCTTTACCCATATACATGTCATAATATAATGCTTAAAGGCATATAGCTAGGTGTCCATTCCTTATTTTTTTAACGATTTCTTTGCTTTCGCTTTTGTTCTTATAGTCGTATTTTTAATTAGACGAAGCCAACTGACAGTAGCTAATGTCACTTTTGTAAAATAATGTTGCCACATTTCATAATATAATGCTTAAAGGCATATAGCTAGGTTCTGAGTGTCCATTCTTACTGTTCAATCAGATGATGAACAATGAGTGTGAATAGTCAATCATTTCAAACAATTAAAGAATTTTTTTTTTTTTTTCAATTTTAAACGATTGCTTTGCTTTCACTACAAAGCGCGGCGCGGCGACTGGTGCCACCACCAACTTTTATTTTGGGGTTTTTTTTTTTTCAAAAAATTTTTTTTTTTTTTTAAAAAAAAAAAAAAACACAAAAACCTTGGGTTTTGTTCTTAGTTTGTGTCACCGGCCCCACAATTATAATCTGTGATAACCTGTTTAGTAACTATATATGGTCTGTGGACTGTGTTTGTTTAACTGTGAAATGTGTATCTGTTGAACTTTGAAGTTTGAAGGTTTACTCTTAAGTCTTAGTCTTATATCTATGAATTGCTGTGAGTTCTGCGATAAGCGTGTTTTACTTATTAAAAGAATTGTGCCGTAATTTTTTACTAAATAGAATTTAAAACAAGAGCGAAAGCAGATACAAGCTTGAATAGATTGCAATCGTACATTATGGGGTCTAAAAAACACAAAAAGGAGTCCAAAAAAAAGAAGCATAGGAGTAGGTCCCGATCGCCATTGGAGGGCGAGGAACGTGAACGAAAACGACACAGAAAACACAAAGACCGCAAAAAGGATCGCTCTCCCGATGGTTAGTTTAAACACTTTTAACAATTTTAGCAATACGCTGTTTTCCAAGAATCATGTTTATGGTACTATGTTTAAAAAATATAGCATTGAATACGTACACAGAATTCAAACATGATTGCTGGAGACAGCGTTTTTCCAAGTTAACAAAATAATGGCAAACTTTGCTCATTTTCAGAGTGGTGGCATTCGAGATGAGAGTGCATCCCGAGTGCTTCGTCATTAAGGTAGGTACAGTAGCCAGGCAGATAAAAAGTTCCAAACTGGATTTGTGTTGGATAAATTGAGATGATAAATTCTCATGAAAAGTGGAACGATTACCATGTATTTTATCTTAACAATATCTGTCATCCTTTCTGTTGCCTATTTTAGATATATGTACTTTGATATTATTACATTACCTGGATAAGAATGTAAATTTTGCAAATTTTGGCTAGGTGTGTTGATAACTATAAGCTGGCATGCCTCATGTTACATATAAACAGACATCTAGCTTACACGTCAGAATACATGGAGTCTTTCTTTTCTTTATGACAGCTATAATTACACTACTGTGAAATACAATAAATATCTAATTGTTAATATCTATATAGTCAACATTTAGCTTTTTGGAAAGAACACAATTTACTACATTAATGTAACAGTAAAAGTTATTAAATAATTTGATTGTATTTGAAATTTGTTTGTACCTTAAAGAAAAATAACTACTGTTTTGTGTGCTAGATTACTTAAAAAATTTAGGCAAGACCAAGTCATCAGATCTATCAAACAATTGTTTCTATATTTTTGAAATATGGATACACAATTATGTGTCCTGGCTCTATATAAATATTATATTAATTTGTTGTAGTGGAGGAAGTTCCGGTAGACTCACATTTACAACCAAAAGAGGTTCCAAGGTCAAAAAGTCGCAGTAGCAGTGTTGAAGCTGTTCAGTCCCATGATGATAAACCAAGGTAATTTTATATAAGGATTTTCCTTTTCTACATTTATATAATTAGTTGGTCTTTTGAGTGTAGATTATTTTTACAATATATAATATAAAAAATTTGGTCACTGGCTGGTAATTTTAGTTAGTTAGCAGTAATCTAGCTAGTTTTTTTCTTTAGAAGCTTGGCTTGGATTAAAATATATTTTCGATGTTAAGTGTATTTAATTAAACTTGATCACTATTTTCAATAAATTCAATACAGTGTAAACTGAATTTCAGTGAGAAGAAGAAGAAAGTGGAGAAATCTAAATCGCCTGTTGCCCCACCTGCTTCTGCTCAGGAGAGCCTCTCCATTGAAGACACAAATAAGTTGAGAGCTAAGTTAGGCCTCAAACCTCTTGCAGTTGCTGAAAAACCAGGTTAATTCAAATTAAATTTTTTTTATAGAATTGGGATAAAAATATCTCAGGATATCTTCTAAATTCTATGTTGTTTGTAAATCCATAGATCTATCTATCATATAGCATCAAATCCATTTTGTAGATTTATACTCATGAGTCTATGATGTTAGGTATTTCTATACCTTAAGAACTTTCTCTATTTCTCAATATGTTTCACTTATGTTCTTCTAATTGTTTTCATTCAATTAATTATGTAGTTATATTTTAAGCATTCAGTAGGTCTAGAAAAGGACTGATTATTATTTACATATAGTTATGAACAGGAATACATGAATATTTATACATAATTATAATGTTTACTATAACAGCGGAAGATGGTATGTTAAAAGATGACTTGGGTGAATTCTATCATAAGCCTGCACCCAACATATCACAACAGAAAAAGTCCGACAAGATACGCGAAAAACTTGAAGAACGCAAAGAAAAAAGGAAATTGGAGACAAAGTAAGAGAAATTCCAATTAGTTTTAATTTATTATTTGTCTCAAATAAATAACTGAACTCTTGTAGTGTCGTTAATGGTAACTAAATTAAATGTTTTTGTTGGTGAACAAAATGTAGACCTTTCCTAAAGCTAATGAAGGGTATAAGATGACTAATATTTTCCTTTAGATTAAAAACAAATCTCATTGCTGATGCTTCTGACGATGAAGATGCGTTGGCATGGATCAAGAAGTCACGACAAATGGATAAACAGAAAAAAGAAGCAGAAAAGCGGGTAAGTAGCTAACATTATTAAAAGACAAACAAAATGAATATTTTCCGTTTTTCACAAGGAACAGTTAATTTTAGTCATTAAAAGAACTTAACGTTCGCCATATATTTTTGATATTCACAATTTTCTTTTAAGCAATGTTAAATACTCAATATTTATTTCTCTAGAAAGCTTGTCATAGAGAACAATTGCTATTACTAGAACTAGTATCGAGTCTATAGTGTATTAATATTTCTGGCTTTGTAAGATGGTATATGATACATTTTGGTGATATGTCAGGCGGCGATGCTGGATGAGATGGATCAGGTGTTCGGTGTAGGCGCACTGGTAGCTGAGCAGCAGCTCGAAGAACGACAAAACACCTATACAGACCGACATCTGCGGGGACTTCGCGTCGCACACGACATAGAACAGGTACAAACAAATATTTTTTTATATGAATTTTTGACACATTGCATAAACTAAAACTGAAATGGTTAAATAAAACACACTAGCAGATATTAACCTTTAAATTGACACAATTATAATGAGCTATATGTGTGATTAAAAAAAAAATTCAAAAAATTCCCTTTAATGAAATTTATTAATTATTGTAAATATCTATTAATATTGTCCTTGTGTGTTAAATAATAAGCATCTCTTTATTGTATTTATAAAATAATATTTTAGCTGCCTGAGGAGCGCGAGACGATCCTGACGTTGGCGGACAAGGACGTGCTGGCCGAAGACAACGAGGATGTACTCGTCAATGTCAACGTACTGGACGATGAGCGTTACAAAAAGGTACTAAACGACACTTTGTGATAGAACCTTTTAGGATTTGGTTTGAAATTAAAATCAAATGTGTATGATTTCATTAAATGGCTTTTGCTGGTAGGTAGTTGTGTACATCTCAGATTAACACAAATTTATAATGAAAAAAACGTGTGGCACTCGGTGACTGCCGCAGTTGTTAAGCTATTAAACATCATATTTTATCAACTTATGCAATTATAATTATTTTTTATTTATGCAGTATTTGTTTTTCTTTGATAATTATTCACTCTACCAGACTCAGACTACCACGCCTATATAGTGTGTCTCACTCTAAAACGCGTACCGGCTGCACTTACGCTACGTCACCGATCTCGTCAGAGAGATGTGAATACGCAGTATGCTTTCTGTCCCACTCTAACGCACCTGCACTACGTCAACGATCATTGGCCGCACATATATTATGTCATCGTGTGTTAGGTTTATTTTCATTCATTTCGTTACGAAATTTCTTGATTCGGTCGCCGAGCTCAAGCCCGCGATAAAATCTGTTAATTTCAGACAACCAAACATCGGATCGGAATGTACATTTAAAAACTTGAGACTTATAATAGAAACTTAATACTTTAAATTACTTTAGAACATCGAGGAACGTCGCAAGGCCGCTGCAGGTTACCAAGCTTATGACGAGGAGAGCGAAATGGCTGCGGCGTTGGGTTACAATAAGCCGCTTCTGTCCAAGTATGACGAAACAATTAATCCTGAACATAAGGCGCGTTCTTCTGGATTCCACCTTGGAGACGAGGCCGCACTTGAAGCTGGACGATACCGGGAAATGATGGTCAGTATCTGGAACTAGATTTAAGTAAAATCTGAGCTTAAAATATCAGTACCATTCTCATACCTTTAATAATAGTAGGTGAGCAAAAACGTCTTAAATTTGTATAAATTCTATCAAAATCAACCTCAACAAATGGTTATATGTAATAGTGTATGTATATTACAGAGGGCGGAACGCCTGGCAGGAGGTCCTGATAAGCGTCTGGAGTCACTTCAACTGCCAGCTCTGCGTATTGCTTCCGACTACATGGATGAAGCTGAAATCAGTACCAAGTTTAAGAAGTTCAAAAAGAAGGTAAGTGTTTTTTACTACTAATATTAACAATATCTAACTTCAAGATGATATGCAACTTAAAAAATTTAATTCCATTTTACAACAAATATTTTTTTAATATTTATATAGTATTACTAGCGGATCCGACAGACGTTGTCCTGGATAATATTTCAAATGATTAGGATTTAAGTATTTAAGATCCGACTTCAGCTCCATCTGCCGGGCTGATTTGTGAATCTAAACCATCCAGGGCTCCACCCAAACATCAACAAAATCATTCAAATCGGTCCAGCCGTTTAAGAGGAATTCAGTGACATACAGTGCCTATCTTTTAAGTTAGCTCAAACTGCATTCGGTGTGCAAATTTGATTGAAATCGGTGAAGCCGTTTAGGAGTCAATAGAGGACAAACAACGTGACGCGTAATTTATATATATCAAGAAGATTATAACGGCAGTTTCAGTCTGATCAATCTGTTTATAGAACAAGAAATAAAAATAACTATCCCATTTTTGAAATTTTGTGTAAGACGCCAATGAATATTTCAGGGCAAGATCCGTAAGAAGCCGAAGCATGAACCCATTGACGTGGATGACTATGAGGCCGGCAACGCGCCGCTCGATACTGACGATACAGGTGATTTTACGTATTTCTTATAATCAATCAATCAATCAATCAAAATCATTTATTAATATAGGTAACACACTGTACACTTATGACCGTCTAAAAAGAAATAAAAATTTAATGCTTCTAATTTTACATTTACTGCCAGTTCTCAAATCAAGGGCGTAGAACAGAAGAGAAGGACTGGCAATAAACTCTCCGCCACTCTTTTGAAGTTCATATAACTCTTTAGGCGCGTTATGAAAAATTGACGAGAGTGAAACAAAATTAACAGAATGAAGTTGCCTACGGAAGATGCTGCGGCATTGGACATAATTTAAAAACAACATTCGAATAATAATATAATTTATGTTACAATGAATGTAAGAGAAAAATAATAAATATTTATTTATTTAATTTTTCAAATGTAAACTGAACTTTATTGACTATAAGGACTCCTTTTCCAGTCTTTGATTATTTAATTGTAATTAATTATTTGCATGCAATCAAAAACTAATTTTAATAATGCCAAAGAAGTATAACTTCTTACGCGCGTACTTAAGTACACGCACCCTTTTTTAGTTTAGTTTTAATCAAGCTTATTTAAAAATAATTTCTTGAAATTGTGTTCAAAGCCAAAGATAGGGCATTATTATTAGCAAATTTTTCAACTAATAAAATATAATTAAAAAATTTATTAGTATGGTACGCGATTTTAGTGCTCTGTATTTTTATCTTAGATCTTTGTTTGATGAGATTTTTATTTGATCTTAGATTTCAGCGGTCTAGATTGTTGTGATTTAAAATATATTTATATTTCGGAACATGAACAGAAAACCAATTATCTTATTACGGTAAAATCAATGTGCATTTTTGTTATAGATGTAAAGTTCGAGACACTTCAACCTGTGATGGATGAGGAGGAGGTGGAAGTGGACGGGGAGCTGCAGAGTGCTGTGGCACGGGCCAGGAGACTCAGGCTGGCAGAGAGACAGGAACCTGTCTTGCCCAAGGTATAGCCATTTATATTATATAATTGATTGGTGATTTTTTAAGTTTTTATTTTATTGTAAATAATTAGGGAGTCACAGTCTCATCAAATTTAGTATTCGCTACATCATGATCCTACCGTATATATGTTCTTATAACATGTTCTGTTAAGGTAGACCTATTTGTTTGTACACTGGCTGAGTTCACAAGAGTTGCTTGCTATATTATTAGTTATAAGATTTAGGTAAATAAATATATTTTTTAATGTTTTTTATCTAGGTTAATTGGTGTGGGTATAAATATTGTGTCGTTCTATCGAATTAGTAATTACTGTAAAGATAGAATAATGATATGGAATAAAAAAAAAATGTTTTGCCAATAAATTATTATTTTATATTCATACTAGCTGCCCCCGCGAAGCTTCATTTCTCCTTAATGTGATTTTACTTAGCCCACCTTTTTAGTGCCTACCAAAATGGAACATTTTGCTATGCTACCCCGGTGACTGATCGATTTTCCGGAATGAAAACTTTTTAGGTTTTTCTATGAATTTTTCCACTATATAAACCTCTAAGTTCAAGTCATAAGTTTTAAATTTACAAAAATAAAATAAGGGTTGATGATGATGAAGGGTTTGAAAGATAAAATTTGCCGATTCTCAGACTTACTAAATATGCATAAAAAATTTCATAAGAATCGGTCCGGAGGAGTATGGGACGAACATTGTGACACGAGAATGTTATATATTAGTATCAATTATTGTATTGAAAATAAATAAACATGCAATGCAAGCCTATCCTATCTAACATTCTTCTTTTCATCTGCTAGTGCTCCCTTGATTTCGTTCATGAAGCATTCCATTCCTAGAACTAGGGCTCATTGTCCATAATGTAATTTAAACTCAAATCCATGTTCAAGATATATTTAAACCTTGATTTTCAGGTGGAAGAAATACTAGAGACTGTTAAGAAAGAAGAGTCTGAAGACGAAGATGCCGAGGGCGGCAGTCGCATGGTGTTAGACTCCACGGCTGAGTTCTGCCGAACGCTTGGAGATATACCCACATACGGACTTGCCGGAAACCGGGACTCTACTACTGAAATCATGGTCAGTCTTTTCAATGTGTCTTTGTATTAATTGCGATTATGTCTGGTTAAGCATTTTTTTTTTCGTGAAAAAGATAGGTATATTACAAATCTTGGTTTTTAATTTATTTTATTATTATTAATTAACCTAATTACTTAATATGTCGTGTGGATCATGGTTGCAACTCCTTACAAACATTGTGTAAAACAAAAAACTTGGCAATTAAATAGAGTAGCATGTTTATTGCCACTTTTTCTCTTCCCTTCTACGCCTTTGATTTAGGAACTGGCAGTATATGAATAAATGATTTTGATTTGATTTAAGAACTGGCATTATATGAATAAATGATTTTGATTTGATTTAAGAAAGATCATCGGGGCTTAATCTATGTTTTATTCTTTTAAATCCCTACCTAACTGTTAGAGAATTAATTTTATTTTGATAGTATCATCATTATTTGTAGCTCGGTGAGTCAAATAAGGTTACTGTAAAAAAATGAGGATAATTACACATTAGAAACATTTGTACAATTTTAATTTTATCTCAACCAGGTTAAGCACATGAATATAAATCAAATCATCTAACCAGAGTTTTTTTTCACAGGAAACATAACATTACAAATGCTATTTATTAAACAAAAGTCAGGAATTATTTCAATGTGATTTTAATAGGATTTCGAGCAAGAAGATTTGGAGCCGGAAGCGGAATCAGCGAGTGGTTCTGGCGCATGGAGCCGTGTGGAATTAGGCAGCGAGGCGCCACCGGAATTAGTAGCGGGATCATCAGTCGGATTGGGGGCGGAACCAGCGTTGGGTACAGGAGTAGCGGGAGCGTTGCAGGTGGCTCTGAGTAAGGGATACCTGGAGAGGGAAGGTGCTGCTCCGGCGCCGCGATCCCGCCTTCATCATTTGTTGGAGGCCCACCACTACTCTATAGAGGATAAGACATACGGGTATATTATTCATCTAGACAATTTTTTTAAGTTTAAGGGAGCGTTCAAGTATTACGTAACGAATTTGGGGGGGGGGTCCTTTTGTAAAACGTTACGATGCGGGGCGGGGATTCAATTACACGTTATTGTTAATATTATTTTCGACTTTCCAGTACTTTACACCACATAATGGTAACTTTTAGATATAAAGAGTCACTAGGTGGTCACGAAACGTTTTACTATACTTGGGTACAGAAAAACGTTACGGAGTGTTACATGCGGGGTGTCAATAATCTCCAAAACTTGCCTGACGTACTATTTGAACGCTCCCTAATATGATTATTTTTATGCTGGATGGTTCATTTATTGAGGTAGGCTAAAGATTATATAACATTATATAGGAACCGGCTGCCCACTGAGGTATTTCCGAACCAATTCGACTCAGGGTCCTTCATGAAAAGAGCGTACCAATTCTTAAAAGGCCGGCAACGCACACGCGAGCCCTCTGGCATTGGGAGTGTTTATGGGCGGCGGTATCACTTACCATCAGATGAGCCTCCTGCCCGTTTGCCCCCGGTGTTCTATAAAAAAAAAACATTACGACCGAATTAATGCGGTATTGAAATATCTATGAAATGAATGTATTGTCATAATATTATTTAAGGCTTTAATATAGAATAACCTCTAAATGGTCCACAGAGAGGACGACAAGTACAGCAGACGTGAGCGCGGCCATCACGGCGCCCTCAGCGAATTTCGGGAGAAAAACAATTTCCGGCCCAACATCAAGTTAGAATACGTCGATGACGATGGCCACGCCCTTTGCCCTAAAGAGGCCTTCCGGTATCTCTCGCATAAGTTCCACGGCAAAGGGCCTGGAAAGAACAAACAGGAGAAGCGTATCAAGAAGGCCGTACAAGAGGGGGTCTGTAGATTTTTATTTTACACTAATTTATAAGTCTATAAGATTATACCCCCCCCCCCCCCTTTTTTTTTTTTTTTTTTTTTTTTTTTTTTTTTTTTTTTTTTTTTTCATCCCCTTAAATGTTGAGGGTGGTCCCACTCCAAATTTTTATTTTTTATTTTAAGACAAAACTTTTTGTTTTTATTTTTTATGATAAAGCATACAAAAATACATATAACCCTTAATTGTCACCCCTATAAGATCAACCCCTATTTTTTATTATAGTAGATAGTTATTTTTATTGAACTAAAAAAAATGTTTCCTACAAATAATATACGTATACATGGCAAAACAACGTTTGCCGGTTTCATTCCTAACTCTATGGACATAGAACGGTACTATAAAGCCGACTAATCGGGGACAGCCTTCGGATAGTTAACAATTTGACAATTTTAAGATTGTAATTTGAGGGTCTCACTTCGATAGATTACAATCTACCGAATAATACGTTAAATTGTAAGCAGTGCGTTGAGGTTCACAATCTCGCGAGATAGATTACAATCTAACGGTGTTTACAATTTTACGGTGACATATAAATCACCTAAACTACGAAACCAAAGGTAAAAAGAAAACTACTGATCGGGTCGCCTAATTGTTATTGAACTAAATAAGCAAACCATCCCGACATTATGCTTCATAATCTTTGAATGAATCGCTGATCACAATTGTCGAAAAGCACAGTTTATCTTATAGTTTTTTTTTTTTTTTTTGACAATTCACACCAATTGACCTAGTCCCATGCTAAGCTGGTGAAGCTTGTGTTATGGGTACTAGGCAACGGATATACATACATATTATAGATAGATAGACATATAAATAAGTACATATTTAAACACCCAAGACCTAAGCACAACACAAATGCTCATCACATCGATGTTTGTCTCAGCAGGGGATCGAACCCGGGACCCTTGGATTCGCAGTCAGGGGTACTAACCACTAGACCAATGAGTCGTCAAACGACCAAAAGTCGTTTTAATATGCAGTACTTAATTATTAAAATAACATTTCTTTCTCAGCTTATGAAGAAGATGAGCTCAACAGACACGCCACTGGGTACATTGCACATGCTGCAGCAGAAGCAGAAAGAGACTCACTCGCCATACGTCGTTCTTAGCGGTGCCAAGAGGGACAAAAACTAATGTGTCGTCAAAAAATGTAATTCTTATGTAGAAAGAAAATATTAACTTAATAAATGTTAATCCAAAAACAAAAAATAATTATTGTGTAACAATGAACTTATTAATAATGGTGATGCAAAAACAATTTTCCAATAGTAAAGCTTATTCCAGTAACGAAAACATCAATAAAATGGATAATTAATTTAACCTCTGTATGTATATTTAGAATATATTCAATAAAAAAATTCAAAAAGGAACCGTAGTTTTTATATATATATTATAAGCAAATACTGAAATCCGTAGGCTTTTAATGACTCTTTTGGATTAGAATTTGGCACCAATTCGGGTCTATATTCCTTTCAAGATTCTAGCCATAAATATGTTATTGAATCGTACATAAAAGCGTGCATACGTTTTATATCTGTACTCATATTATAAAGAGGAATGGTTTGATTTTTTGTTTGTTTGAAATGAATAGGCTCCGAAACTACTGGACCGATTTCAAAATTTTTTTCACCGTTGGCAAGCTACACTATTCCCGAGTGACATATGCTGTTTCATTTTCAAAAAAATTAGGGATGCTTAATAAAACTTGAATAATCTAACCCAAGGTGTGAAAAAATAAACAAAAAACTTCCTTCAATCGTGTGCGCTGCGAAAACTATTAATGATAGAACAAAATGATGTATTACAATTTTTCAGGACACATCACTATCTATAAAAAATGTCGCGAGAGCATGTCTCTATCTTTTATAGTTACGTCACAATAAGCGTCCTTTTATTATTATTTTTTTATTAAAATTTAAAATACCACCGCTAGAAAAGGCTCTTTATTCGTACCTAGGTATTGATCCTTATCAAAATAATTACCAACGTTTCTCATAAGCTACAATTTAATGGCATAACCACCAAAAAAGCATGGTAAATTGGTGTTCTCCTGCCGTTTCTCTTGAATAGTTTACTACTATGTAATATAACAAAAGCCACAGCAACGCTTGGCCGAGTCTATTAGTATTTTATAAACAGCTTCCGCACCGCACAGTGTACCTGGGTCTCACGATAAAGAGCCCTTGTAGGCTCGCACTATGATCGTAATTTACAAAATCATCGTCGCTTACTGTTGTGCCAACCATGATCCGGGCAACAGACGACAAGAAATTCGTGGATTTTATCACCATAAGTCCTGGTGGTCCTTCGACCTTGTTAGCAGCCTGAAATTAATTAATGACTAATTCTAATAGACGTTGCATCGTGCAATGACTTTATTGAAAATATCCAAAAACGAACTACGAACCTCTTTTAAAACTTCTTTGATTTTTTTGACAAGAATGAAAACATAACATTAGTGCTTATGGATATAATCTGATCAACAACTTTATTTACATTTTTAATACGGCCATTGAACGTATTGCATAGTTCATTGCAGTGTTTTCATATTTTGTTGTAATTGCAATTAATTAATATGACAGAGGAGTGTCCTCGGCCTAGTCCAGACAATATCGTTGAATTTTTACCGTATATCTGTTATACAATGCAAGCACCGTTCGGTGTTCAATTAAAAACTCGTATCGTGGGCAAGTTTCAATACCGTTAAACATATTTAATAATCTAATAATAGTGGCATTGCGCTGACTGTTTTTATAATTTTTTTAAATTTCCACAGAAGAATATGTGAGCGTTATTGATAAGGCTAAAAAAACTAAAAAAGACAAGTCCACTATCCATGCTCTTCAGCAGGATCCGGAGCCAGGAGATACGCCAGCTTCGGACGTGCAAGAGGGCGGCGTGGGGCTAGTAGCGATGACGGCGCTATACAATGCAAGCGGCCGTCTCGTCGAGCTGCTGGTTAACCGATCACCCGTGCCCACGATGCTGATACGCGTGCTGACGTTGTGCCTGCCTTTCCAGCCGCATCTCTACCGCCTCACAGTGTGCAATGGGGTTTTTGAAACTAAGACCCTCGCGGCGATCAGTCAGCTGTTAGTACAATCCCAAATCACGGAGCTATACCTGAGCGACTCTCCAGTGCCGGGCCACCGCTTCAGCCAGTTGCTAGCATACCAAACTCGACTCCAGTGCCTCAGCCTCGATCGCTGCGGCCTGGACGACGATGACTGCATCGAAATCGCGAGTATGCTGACTCATCCGAATCCAGCCTCGCAGACCCTGCTCGTCCTTTCTATGGGCTCCAACAATATTTACAATCGCGGTGCCGTAGCGCTAGCCGTTATGTTACGCAGCAATCGCAAGTTACGCTACCTGAATCTCTCAGGAAACCAAATATCGAATACGGGGGCTGCAGCCATCTTCGGTAGCCTAATGGAGTTTCCCCTGTCCCACGCGGATATCGTTTCGAAACGTTTGCGAGTAGTTCAATATATTAAATTGCGAAAAGAAGTTTACGCTAAATGCTACAACGATTTAATCGCAACCGCGAGCGACAGTAAGTCTGAGGCGCGACGAAAGCCGACGACACGACGGAAGTCGGTGTCGACTGGGGCATCTCTATCCCCGGACGAGCTTGCCGCCAAAGCTGACGTCATGACCACCCATCTTATTGGGCCCTTCAACGAGCCGTTTACCTGCGAGGCCACGTTTAAAAAAGAGGGCGCCGTGTACTCGTATGGCAACTTGTGCCTGTCCTATCTGAACATGTCATACAATAATTTAAACCATCCGAGCGCGGTAACGTTAGCAGAGGCAATACAAGCCCAACAGAGGATCAAGGCGCTTACTGCCACGACAGAGGTGGGGCTCGTACGCGTTCAATTAGAAGGCAACCCACTGCCTGCAGATACCGATGAGCTGGACACTGTGCAAGCGATGCTTGACCGTGCCATGCTCAGCGGAAGTAAAGGGCGTAAGAGCGAGAAATTTTTAGGTAGGTTGAGCAGGCGTTGAAGTCCTTATATAATACAAGTTACAACTAGAGGTAGATGACTACAAAACACTTGCTACAAGAACACAGATAAGGAATGTAATATTATTAGTCAATGCTACAATAAATTCAGTTTCTCTTCGCTTTTATGAAACAGAATTTTAAAATAATTGTATGTGCTTAAAAATATATGTATAGTTTAATGATTTCCTGGGCTTTTTTTTATAGCCTAATCCAACCGAATCCATACGCTTGTAGATAATAGATATAGCTTGTTTCACAAGATTTAAAAAAATCTATGGTGTATCTTTATCCAACCAAAGGATCTTATCCGTACAGCGTTATCTATATTTTTCCTTACACAATATAACCATACAAACGGTGTGCTTTTTTAGTGTAACATAATAAAACTTTTCTTAGAATGAGTAGTGCAGTACCTACCGGTCCAAATTTTCAAGGTAGAGGCTGTGAATATTGTGCCGCCCTCGCCTCTACAATTGCCACGTCCTAAATTTTTACAATCCAACAATTTCGTTGCAATTGGACATAAAATAATTTTTGGGTTTGATTTTTTATCACAAAATTATACCATCCAGTTCGTATCCTCCAACCAGTTACTACTGGTCTGACATGTATAAGTTGATAGGGGGAAGAGGAAGATAGGGGGAAATACATTTTCAGCAATTGGAGGTGGTTTACTGCTGTGGGGGCGGCGAACTAGCTGTTTTACTTTAGAATATGGAAGTTTGCTACACCAAATGTTCAATGATAAGTGAGAGTAATCGCTACAATTTGTTGCAGACTTCTATCTGTAAAGCATCAGAAAACGTTAAAAACTGTTTGATTTCTAATAGGTAGCAAAAAAAATATCGGACCCCAAATTTGCCGCCCTAGGCTCCAGCCTACTCAGCCTGCTGGTAAATCCGCCACTGATACTACACTTCCAATTAGTTACAAAAGCAGCTATTGGGCTTGATGTTTTCAGGCGCTGACTCGCAATGTATATTCTCTTTGCGTCTATGTTTTATGGTTTTGGACTTAACGAAACATAAATTAAAATTATAATAACTGACACTGATTTGTCAATATTTTGCGGATTTTTGTACCGATTATTAAAACATATTTATAATTTTATTAAAATAATTAAGTTTTGAAGTTATGAGTGAGGATAACCAATGTACTCCCCTCAATCTCGTAAACTTTTTACCTTATGCTTGTTATCAGCTCCAAGCGCCATTCAGTGTTGATGTATCTACTAGAATTCTAGGTAAACGGCTATTTAATTTTTGTATCATGAATAAGTCCAATATTGTGTTTATATATATCAAATGTTCCGTCTACTTCTTTCAGAGGATTACGTGAATCAGGATAAGACAAAGAAAACAAAAGCAGAAAAGTCAACGGCAAACTTGGGGTCGCAAGCGCAAGTATCAACTACGGAAACGAAGGAAACCCCTGTACACTTGAGAAGCAGCGGCAACAAAGATACTGTCTTTGTGACAGTCGTGTTGGATACACAAGGGCGAGTCATCGAGCTCGAACTGATAAACACTATATTGCCAATATATTTTCTCAAAATTGTCGAGCTGTGTATTCCATTCCATCCCCATATTTATAGAATTACCTTGCGATTGTGTCCTGTCAGTGAAAAAACGATCTATGAACTCTCAAGTATATTATCCAAGTCTCAATTAACTGAACTTTGCTTAGATAAATCCCCGCTAGCGCAATGCAACTGCGCCGCAATTCTTCAACATCAAACTTATTTAAAAAATCTAAGCTTAAACGGTTGCGACTTAACTGATGAAGACTGTGAGGCCTTAGCTGTCTACCTCAAGCATCGAAGGCGCCCCTGCCACCTGCAACTACTGTCATTGGCCTTCAACTTAATCAAAGACCGAGGTGCTGTCGCCCTCGCCAGTATGTTACGCTCTAACCGTCATTTGCGGTATCTTAATCTCGCTGAGAACCAAGTAACAGACACCGGTGCTCTTGCCATCTTTAATAGTTTAATACAATTTCCTCTGACGCAAGATGAAATTCATTGTAAACGCTTACAAAATTTCGAATATCTAAAGCTATATAGGAATGTGTATGCAAATTTCTACCAAGAAGCGGTCGCGACATACAACGTAAAAGACGACCGCAGCGGGGGACGCAAGAAAGTTGCAGGACCAGTATCATTGGCGGTTAATCAAGTGCCAAACGTGGTCGAAATCATCTCGACTGCGACCGCAGCCACCCTGAAGTCAATAGGCCCCAACAACAATCCCTTCAGTGAAACTCTAAACCAAGATGGCCAGTTGTACTCCATCGGGAACACAAGTCTTGCTTACATCAACATTTCCCATAACAACATAAGCGTTATAAGTGTGTTAAAGTTAATAGAGGTCTTGCGCTACCAGGACCACCTTAAAGAGGGATTAGTGCGCGTAACATTAGAGGGAAACCCATTGCCCGCTAGCTCGCCCGCTCTAGTGCAGTTGGCAGAATTGCAGAACCGCGCTGTCGCCCGCGTGGGGCTCGCTGGGCTCGCCAAGGCAGACAGGAAGAACACGCGCAAACGATGACCGACAAGTTCTAGTTTAGACATAGTTTTACGATATTTTAGATAATTGTTAAGTATTTAGATAGTTTACTTTTAGTTACTATTAATTATTTAGTTTTGTAGGAAATGAAACTGTTACTATAGATTATTTTAAACGTTTATTGTTCATAATAAAGAATAACACACAGATTTATCATTTATATGTTTAAAAAGTAGTCTACTGTGGAGGCGCTGGTGGTTCGAAGTGTGGGCGTCGGGCAGGGGCTCGCTTTAATCGCGTGGCTCGCACAAGTTCTGGGGTTGGCGGCCGCCGAACGGGCTGGGTCGATGCCATGCGTAGGTGCGCGTATAGCGGAATCTGTTCAAACAACACATTCTATATATTATCTGATCACGGAAACTCCATAATTAATACGAATGTATACTTAAAAGTAAATCAGTGTCACATAGATATGTATAGCCTGGGCTTGTACAAAAATAATAATAGTTACCGTTTGCAGTGAATCGTCGAGACGAATAGTCTGGTGTGCATCGGGACGCTTGGGCAGCGCGAAGTAATCTCCCAGCAACGGCGGCGGTGGAGGTTCACCGAAAGTGCGCGTGCGCAGCTCCAGTTCCGTGATATCGCGAAGCTTGTCTATCTCCACCTGCCCTGGCACGTAGCGAGACACCCACCCTCCTCGCCACACCTGTCAAAAAGAGCATTATGGTCATAATAATAACTAATACAAAAGGCATTGGAAAGAAATAGTTGTTTGTGCTATTTTGTCGAATCTCTTGAAGTAGGTAAATATAAACACAGTACAGTGTATGATGTCATTACCTTGAAAGTAGTGAAGCTGGCGACCTTTTGAACATCTGGAGGGAAGCGCGTGTCCGTGAGCGACCACGGCACGAAGCTTCCCAACGTGCCTACGTATTCACCAGAAAGCCGCCATGCGCGAACGCTGTAGTCTGACGAACCACTGCAAAATATAATTACTATTAGAAGAGAAGGAATTTGTATTTATTAAATCGACGGTATTAATGATAATCGGGATACTGAAGGCAATATTCTGTATATGATTATTCTTTACAACCTATTTAATAATTATTATTATTAATCGCCACCGTGGACCGATAGACCCGCCCCTTTGAATGGGGACCTCGGCAGAAAAAAAATCGCGCGCCCCGTGGATGCAGAGAGGCCAGTACAAGGCGTACTGGAAGAAAATGCAGGAGTCCTACGTTCAGAAATGGACCAAAAAAAGAGGCTGAAGATGATGATGATCATTAATCGCAAATTTAAAAAAAAAACAACTGAATTAAATTGCACGTCTCACTTTGAGAATTACAGATTCAATTGGCGGAAAGGGTAGCAGCTAGTTTTGTACATGTTTAGCTCGATTAAATGTCGTTTAGGGAGCGTTCAAGTATTACGTAACGAATTTTGGGAGGGGGGGTCCTTTTGTAAACGTTACGATGCGGGACGGGCATTGATTACGCGTTATTGTTAATTAAAATTTTCGACTTTCCAGTACTTTACACCACATAATGGTATATGTTAGGTAAAAAGAGTCACTGTTTCGTCACGAAACGTTTTACTATTGGGTAAAGAAAAACGTTACGGCGCGTTACATGGGGGGGGGTCAATAATCTCCAAAAATTGCTTGACGTAATACTTGAACGCTCCCTTATACCTGAAGAGTAACTCCAAATGGTCGACGTAGGCGAGACTAGTGACGCAGCGCAGGTGCGCCTTGTAGCTGTTGAGTAGCAGAGGCAGCGGTTGGTCTCTGACGCATCGTTTGGCGCGTCCTTCGATGCGATCCCGCCAAAGGAACGGAAACTTCAGCCGCAACTTTGGCATACTGATGTGCGTCTATCAGCAAATCAAGTCGGTTATAATAGTTCAACGTCTGTTTTAAATTATTTAAAGCATTCTTAGTATAAACCTTAATATTATAGTAGCAATAAATATTTGTGCTAAAAACATGAGCTTGACTTATTTAAAAATAAGCGGCAGGACCCGATTGTTTTAATAGCATTCGTATAGTAAACTATAGGTACTACAGTGCAAATGTATTAACAATCTATCATAAAATATACTCTTAGGACAAATAAAATCTGAAATTGAATAATCAAGGTGAAAGAATAGTAATGATATGATACGTTGTATGAAAAACTTGACTTGGAAATCATACATCATTCGAATTTGTGTAGTAGGTAGACAAATTTAAGTATGCGTTTGGTCTGACAAAACCTACTATTTTCGTAGTGACGTATACGATTACTAGACAACTATAGAATAGTTGCGCTAAGGATACTACTTATTACCTTTTCATGGGTGAGGTAGTTAGTCATGAGCCACACTTTGATATAGCCAACTGTGGTGCCGGTGAAAAGATAGTTATTGTCGACATCAGTCGTAAAGGCAGACACGTAGTCTCCGGCAGTGTGAATGCCCTGAAACGCACCCTGGATCCCACCCGCTGGATGCTCCGACCAGCATTGCACTTGCCCGTTTTCCAGCGACAGCATCAGAGTCGCTGGTAACAAGTTTTATCTTTACACAGCATAAAATAAATTATCATCAAAAATTTTCTCTTTTGCATTAGACAAAACGCTTGTTCAAGTTGATATTAAACAATTCTAAAATCGCATAAACTCAAATCTAATCTTATATATAAAATTCTCCTGTCACAATGTTAGTTACCATACTCCTCCGAACCGGCTTGACCGATTTTTATCAAGTATATATTCAGTAGGTCTGAGAATCGCCTACTATGTATTTTTCATACTCCTAAGTGATAAGGGTTGTCCAGTGTCCAACCCTAACATTTTATTTTTTGGACCATTAAAAAATACATACAACCCTAAATTTTCACCCCTCTACGATCAACCCCTATTTTTTATTATTGTAGATAGTTATTTTTATTGAACTAAAAAAATGTATCCTAGAAATACATGGCAAAACAACGTTTGCCGGGTCAGCTAGTTTTATTTATAAATTTTTGTAGTACTTATAAGTTAACTTTATTTCTTGTAATCTGTGTAAAATAACTTAAGATCTATATTGTGATTTGTGAGGCTAACCAACGTGCATGTGCACGGGGCGTCTCTGCAGGAAGACCATAGCGTGTACGGCGAGTTGACGCATCACTTGCGCACGGGCCGGTAAGCTCACCGCAGAAACGCGTCGAGCGCGGGCCTTCTCCATCGCAGACGCCGCATCGATTACCGAATCACGCGCACCACCCATGCTTCACATACAATTTTAAAATATTCAAGCTACATTTACTTTAAACTCGAAGCTAGCTAGATCCCAACCTTTTTTGTGCCATACTATATATATATATATTTTAATTTTAATTGTTTTAAGAAACTTAGATAGGTTTAGGTAAAATTCAAATTCCAAATTTTTTCAGACAAAGTTTTTCATTATATGTTTTGACAATCAAATGGCCCCCCTGTGGGGCGTCGGCCCCAATTTGGAAAACACTGGTCTAGAATCTAGATGATCACGACTGCTCTAAAGCACTCGCAACGTTTAGCTTATTCGGGATCCGATCCACTAAAAAGGTTTTTAATATTCTTCTTTAATCAATTGTTTATATATGAAAGAGAAAGACAATGCCGTATTTTAGATAAATTATGACGATTCTAATAGCAATTCTAAAAAGTGTACTTAAATGAAAATTACTACAAATCAAACGGACTTTCGCATTTATGAGTAGGTCTCATAGAATTGTATAAGTTTACATTAGGAACAAAATTCTTGGATTATAGATTTATTGTGTAAGATTTATAGCCCTTAGACAAAACCAAAATGTTGAATACTTTGTCAAACGCATGCTTTAGTACGGGCTTGCACAATTTTCTCTGTAAGTCGCTGATAGGTGTTCGTGTTATTAGATTACGTATATAAACCTAGGTCGTCGTAGTATAGAAGAGCCACGATGAGCAGATGACCCTGCAGCGGCGTGAGGGGAGGCAGCACGTTTGCTATACTGCATCTTGATACGCAGCATCGGTTCCGTGCATGAAAATCTCCTACAATATAGTCCAAATTAATTTCTTACATACAAGAGATCCTTTTCTTGGCAGAAATTAAAAAAAATCTTTTTTGTTGGGTGTTTGAAAAGGTGACACGCTCCTACAATTCACCGACGAAACAATAATTGTTTCAGCTTACTAGAAGGCTTCACCTACTTGCATATATAACTTACCAAGGGCGATGGATGAATCTGTCTCCTTCCCCATGTCCTATAGTGGTTATGCCTAAGGTTTTCAGCTACACTGTTAAAGTATAATTCTTTATCGCTTGTTAATATCATTTTCTGGTTTGAAGTACAAAATATTTTTATTATTGGACTAGCACACTCGGCCAAGCTTTGCTGTGGCTAAAGTTTTTGTTATATTACATAGTAGTAAATTGTAGCTTATGTGAAACGTTGGTACTTTCAACACAGCGCCATCTGTTAGAATTGTGACTGTTAAATAATAAAGAAATAATTTGCAATAAAATAATATTACGTGTATAAATGAAGATGTAAGCTATCCTATCTTTTAAGTTAGTTCAAACTGCACACGGTGTGCAAATTTGATTGAAGACGGTTAAGTAGTTTAGGAGACCATAGCGGACAAACAACGTGACACGTAATTTATATATATTAAAGATATGTATTCAAGATATTGTTATTACCGATACGGTTGTCCAGTCTCCAATTTCCAAAATATTAGCTCTGAATTGTATGACGAAGTAGCGAGGGTCATAGGTGATCGCGCAGCAGCAGCTAGCACGTCATCAGTGTGCCGCGTCTCCCACGACTTTCCTGTACGCTGGGTTCCACCTTCTTCGAATTCTGTTACGTGCCGGTTCCAACCCACAGCCAGGATTCTACCGAGAATCTATAGCTCTTAAAACGATTCAAAATATTGACTGTGTATATGTATGTGATCTAATATAAAACTCCTACTCAAAGTGTTCTGCTTTACCTCTTGAAATCCAACAAGCTCAGTCTTTAAATTCATTTAAGAATCTTCTTTTTGAGAATTTTTATTCTACCTCGTAATAAGCTACTTATATAATATAATTCACCCTAAGATTAGCTTTTACTTTATTATTCTTATTAATTTTTTTAGACTTTAGTATTGGACAATTCTGGTGTTATATGTAGGTTTCTGGTTTTTTTGGTAATTTAGTTTGGCACTTCTTGTACTTAAAAATTCTATAATAAAAGAAATACCTACTTGGGTTTACCCTCAGTAGGTATTTCTTTTATTATTTTTCTATACTAGGATTGCCGGGAAAAAATCGCTTGATAGCCATAAGGCCACCCGTTGCCTAACAATTTATGTAATGTATGTTTAAAGTATCGAAGTGTAAATAAATGTGTGCAAACACACACCGTCCTTCCACCCAGAAACAGTTGGTCACTTCACACATGTGCTCTATCGTCATTTCCTTCAAACACACTCCCGTATTGAAGTTCCACACCTGCAACACCACTTTACTTATATTTATTTACTTACTATACACATCAGAACAAACCGCGTGTAAAACTCAATCAATCTATGCAAAAACTATTGATTGATACCCACAATCATTAAAACCAAAGCAACAGTTTACTGTAAAGAAATGTAAACTCCACCCACTTTAAGCGTCCCGTTCCTTGCACCGGTGAGCAGCAACTGATCACCGGGATCGAAGCAGGCTGCCGTGATCTCCACTGGGATCAACTCACCGTGCAGAAGTCGTGTATGCGCCTCTCGTATGAGCACGTTGCGCTTACCTACACACTTCTTATTCAAGCTACTTCGACTCACGTTTATAATCACATTCATCTTCTATTTAACATGTAAACAATATGATAAATACACAAATAATAATGAAAATTACAGTAAATATAATTTGTGAAAAAACTTTACCGAAATTAATTTGAAAATAGCGCATGAATCATGTAAAGTATATTTTAATACTGTGAAATTTGAATATGTATCTATACGAAAGCAAACGCAATCCAAAAGATAAGCCTAACCAGTGAGAGGATCCCAGTTGATGATGATGCTGTCCATACCACAGGTAATGATGACCTTAAAGAGTGGGTTGTAGAGAATGCGTGCTACAGCTCGAGAGTGTGTGAACCCGTCAGTGTGGTGCGGATTGATCTGTTCGTCCAGCACCAATACGGCTATTTTGATGGCAGCTAGGATCAACTCGCGTGTTGCGCTGTTATAAACGCATGAGATGGGCGTGCGCTCTCCCACCTGAGCCGGAATGTCGATGTACGTCTGCGTCAACATTAAGATTAATTTGGTACAAGAAACCTTAATAGTACCGACACCATTTCAATTTGCTTTTTTGTCGTATCAAATCAAATCAAAATTCATATAGGTAAAAGTGTACAATGTACACTTATGAACGTCAAAAAATAAATACACATTAAATGCTTCTAATTTTACGTTTACTGCCAATTCCCAAATCAAGGGCGTAGAATGGAAGAGAAGAACTGGCAATAAAGTCTCCGCCACTCTTTTTAATCGCCAAGTTTTTTGCTTTACACAATGTAGTTAAGGAGCTGCAACCATTACACCATGATCCACGTGACATATTAAGTAATTAGGTTAATTAATAATAAAATAAATTAAAAACCAAGATTTGTCCCCTATCAGCAGAGGCATGGTAAAATAGGAGCACGCACTTACATTCTCGTGGGGAACAACGCGCAAATATACATCGAAATAACTAACATCACCACATACACGAATTGAAGTCCGACAAGTAGCACCCGTTCGCGAGTATCGCCTGTTGTCGGTGAAACCGTTTCTTAAATAATGTTTACGATTTTTACCTGTACGCAATTCTGACCCTGGACATCCCAGACCTTGATCACTCGGTCGCGCGATAAAGAATATACGATGCTGGCACGGTTCTGCAACACGAGTGCGACAATACCCGCGTGATGGCCGTGCAAGGCTGCGCTGGCCTTACTGGGCACGAAAGGGTTCCACACACGCACCGAGCAGTCTGGCCCCCCCGTCACTAGAACATGTGCTTCTTCATCGAAGGCGAAGCATTGAATACCCTGACAATATTGTAATCTCAGTATAGACCCATTTCTTTTAAGCACTACAAAAAAGTTACAAAAAGACCTGCAATAAAAGTTGTGTTCATAATAAACCCCATCTGGTACCTTTATAAAAAAATGTGTGTGTGTACACGCGTTAGCAGTTATCCTTCTTAACGCGAAAAAAGATAAAAATCTTTTCAAAAAATTTTATTCTACTTTTGTAGATAAAATTACGACACTAACAATAGAAAAAACCAAAATGTTGACTATAGCTAACTTCAGGGTTTTATGTAACGGTGTGCACGCGCATCGTAAAAATTTACCCTCATCATTTTTCCCTAACGCGCCAAAAGAAGTATAACTTCAATAAGAAAATATAGTGTTAAAATTTTGAAATAGGGTTGAAATCGAGTTTTCAACAAAATTAGTTTAATTACACGCTTTACATTAGCTTCACCTGTATGTATGTATGTATGTATGTATGTATGTATGTATGTAACCGACTCCTTCGGACTCGATTTTGACCCACATTAAACGGACAGATTTAATTCAAACTTTGTACACTTATAAAGAATCAGCGACAATATAATAATTTCATAGGTTTATCTCGAGAAAACAATGAAATTTTTTTTAAGTCCACAAAGCAATACGATTAAATTGAGACAACACGTATTGCTGCTAGGACTAAAAAGTGGAAAATAAATATAGTTTAAAAAAAACTAAAAAACACGCTTTTAAAGCACATCAAACTAAAAAGTGAAAAATAATTCCTAATTTAGGCTGAAAATGGTAATGAACAAAAAATACTGGTATTATTGTGAAAAAGCGTGGCGCGCTCTGTGCCATTTGATGTGCTTTATAAGCGTGTTTTTTAGTTTTTTTAAACTATATTTATTTTATATCTTAACTAATCTGTTTGTTAAAATATAATTTAGATAATTATTAACTTTGTCGAGACGGAACATGTTATGCGTCTTGGATCCGGCGAGGTCGCACATAAGCAGTGAGTCTGGGCACGTGGCGCAGGATACTATGCAATGCAGGGAAGCGTAGTACGACACTTGTCGTACCCATTCACTGTGAACTCCACGTAACTCTGTCAGCTTCATTTCAGCCAGCAGATGGGGCTGCAAAACTTTTATGAATAGAATAATGCAAGTACGATTGTATAAGATTTAAATTTAGGGAATAATGGTTTATCAGTATACCAACAGCTTGGTTTTTATTTCACGATGCCAACTGGCAACTAATCTCTATAGAAACTGCTTTACACGGAAAAGATACTATTTCATTACTCTTACAAAGACTGAGGGGACCTTAGAGACCACCTCGAACAAACGGGGCAGTTATTAGATATTAAATAATAATTATAACATACAGATCAATCATCTATATCTTGTATTGTTTATAGCCTAATGTTAAGATTCAAAAAGTATTTAGAAGCAAATGTTAGCATATATGTACCCGCCGTTGCAAGTCGATGTGTCGCAACTGCACAAGTGCTCTACCAGCTTGGTTGCGGAAAGGCCCACGATCCACGGGTGAGAATTGCAGTACACGGACGTTGCCGCCTACGTCACCGCAAATCAACGTGCATTTCTCACTTATGTCTTGGTGAAAATGGTAATACATTGTGCAAATCTGAAATCCATCAATATTCTTACATTGGCGATAAACAAAACCTATTTCTTCTTGTAGCATACCTACCATATATTCCCAACTCGTGATGACGATCTTCAATGTGAAGGTTTTGGCTGTACAATCGTAAAAGCGTAAATCCCGCTCCGTAGAACTCGTGACTATTATGTTTACGTCAGGCATGCATACCATGTCCGTAACCCAAGTAGTGCGGACTTTCAGGTGAGCTGCGATATGCAAACTTTATCACAATAATTTAATTAATATATTTATTAACCTAATACTGAGTACTGTAGACTACAAACGCTCTAGAATATAGAAATTAAGTTGAACTAACGACTTGATGAGAAAGCCGTGCGTAAAAGTGTCATGTCAAGCGACCACCAGTTAATCATGCCATCGCGACTCGCCGTAATATAGTTCCCAGTCAGGTTGTTTGTGCTACGGTCCTTGGCAACATCCGGGCAGAAGCATATGCGAGAAATGGGATGACGATGTTGCGAACGCATCACGGTGGGAAGTCCCATTATGGGTAACTGCAGAGAAGCCCGCTCATTCTCCGGATCGTTGAGGAAGTAGCCCAGAAGTAAATGCGACACCAGCTCATCCCAATCTATTTCACCCTCTCGTGAAGTATTTATCTGAAGTTAACACAACAAATATAAATCGGAAAGGCACGAAATGTATTCTATAACAAATCATTCTTACTTTTAGAAATAGTATTTTGAATTCATCATCATCATACTCGACGTTTAGAAGCGTCCGTAGTAGGTTTCTGAATTCATTGGGCAACATTTTGTTTCTATACGCTGCTTGAAACAGTTCCTTAATTTTCACCATATCAGGTATAGCACATCTTTCGTGAAGTGGAGCATTCTTCAACTTAGTTCGAGTAATAGGTGCAGTGCTACCCTCCGATTTGGATGATATCGACATTATTGATTTTACATCCACGTCGTTCGCCATTTTTTGTCTTAAGCTAATATTTCTACAAAAATAATTACAGACAACAGCTATTATTCAAGTAAAAAAATATAATAAACTCAATCTAATGATCGAACGTTTAAATATTTGTGATACGTCATTATTCAAAGAGATTTTATATCACAATAAGCTTAATATAGTATTTTTTAAATATACTCTGCATCAACATGTACCATCTCTTTGAGGTCTTCAGTCCTGAGAATAAGAACTATTTTCTAACACAATGTGTGACTGCTTGATAAAACTTAAGAGATCAAAATATTTACAAATAGGTTCAAAGTACATAAACATTGTAATGGTATAATGGTATAATATTTCAGACTTTAAATTAGCTTAACAAATTATGTAAAAATACGTATAAAAAGCTTTGATTAAAAAAGGAATTTTTTCCTAAAACATAGTGGAAATATGTCAGTGGTAGCACCGACCAAACACCACGCAGGTAGGCATACATAATCAAATCAATTATTTTTAAACTTACCTTTGAACCTTTTAAATTTTGATTCAAACAAGTAAAAAAAATTGGTGCATTTCTAGAATTATATGGCAACACAAAAGCCTGTATTCCAAGCTATTATCTAATATTATTATTCTGTAATCTTAGTCTGTGCTATTTCAAAATGACAATTTACATTTACAAATATAACCAAGTCAAAACAATCAATTCGCGTATTAAGTGATTAACTGATAGCCGATTAATTAATTAGTTTGAAGTATAAAAGCGCATAACTAACAATTTAAGAACTATGTTTTTGACTCTTAGATTATTAGGTAATCGACATCCATCGTTCATCGCTCGCACAGTGTTTGTAAAAAACAATAACGTGGACGATGCTTGCAGACTTCTTAACAGAATTCTTGGGAAAGAAGGGATTTTAGAACAATTTAGACTAACCCGACATTATGAGAAGCCGTTCCAGGTTAGTTTGAGACTTTATTTTTATAAATCAAAAGTATTTGTCCTCTACAAAAATCTATTTATTTACAGACTCGTCGACGAGTTAACCACGAAAAATGTAAAGCCATATACAATGAAGATATGGAAAGAAAGATCCAGTTTGTTCTGCGCAAGAACAGACACGAGCCCTTCCCTGGTTGCCATTAATAGTAGCTAAATTTATTCAACAATGTATGTAGTGTGTATATTTAAAATTAAAATAGAATAACTAGTTTTACCTCATCTTTAATATTTGTTACCTATCCTTTAAATGAATATCATTCTCAAAAGGAGTTGTATATGTGTATAAAGTTAATAATTACAACCAACAAATCATAATTATTGTGCTGACACATAAGGACACATTACATTTTTCTATTGCGTGGGAAAGAAATTTAAGGAAATTATAACTGTAAGTAAGACACTGCACAACAATTAAATAGTAACATTTATACTTAAATACAGCCTCTAGCAAAATATTTACAAAAGTATTGTCTTATAGTCATAAAATTCTGAAAAATATGGAAGCTGTTGTGACTAGAGCAAGAATTTGGGGAGCACCAAATAGCCAATGAAGTATGACTTGAGCCTGGTGTCACATATATGTGAGGCATGTGTCTCTGCGCCGCACATAGAAATGATACCGATAGCAGCGATGACATGTCTTGATGCCACACCTATAGCTCAATCCACCTTGTGGTTTACCTTTGCAGTATTTTAGTCCACAAGGATACCAATTGACACAAACCTGTAAAAGTTCATTAGTTAAAAAAGAACCATAAGGTAATAAATTTTTCGATGTTTAAAAGAACATCATTCAAAAGTAAGTTTGTTAATACATACTATAATAGAGAAATATAACTGATCTATTTTAACCTTTTCCCAATAATTACAGGCATTTGTAAGTTAAGATATAAATTTTTAATCAATAGCCAAAATGAAGTTATAATTAGTTACCTCAAAGTGACAAATACACTCGTTAGCAGAGTCTGTCTCAGCTACACAAGCAGGCACAAATGGTGAACCATCAGAAGTGTCAGATGCCAAAGCATGTTCTGGGAATGGACTGATTTCTGAGGCATATGAGGAATGCTCCATTCCTGTGAGGGTTAAGATAACATGTATTGTTATTTCACTTAAAAACCTCAAGTCAGTTCAACAATGATTTGAAAACAATAAAAAAATACATTAACCTGGTCTAGGAGCCCATCTCGTCAAATCTGCAGCTCGTAAGTACACATGATCCTTGGCAGATGCACAGTGCCTAGCAGCTGCTGGTGATAGTAATCGTGTCACTCTACTAGCCCAGGCAGTTGCTGTAGTTTGTCTCCAGCCTTTATCCTCCTCAGCAACCCGTACAGTCCCAGCATTTTTCTAGTAAATATATGATCTTAAAAATCTCATTTAATAAACTACAAGTTATCAATTCAACTTTATAGCATTAATGCATTGACTGTGATGTAAATATAGAAAGTAGTTTCGTTTTTAGGTAATTATCTAAAGCTATCAAGTACTAAACACTTATTTCAACATAGTTTATTGAGTCTATACCTGTCTTAGTTTTGCCATAGCATCTGGTGCAATGAAGTCTGCCTGAGCAGCATGTGTAAGAAAGCATAAAGTTTGGTAACCTGACTGTCCAAGCTCTTCTTCAGCCGGGATTATAACTTTCATTGCCTCAACTTCCTTAAATACAGAATAAAAAAGCTAAGTACCCAATATGTTAAGCATAATTTATATTATGTTTAAGTTATATTTTACTTACATTTGTAAAGTCGACTAATTGTGATACGTAAGTACCATCCAAACGTAGAAAATCGAGGGTTACTGTATCTTCAGATACATTTGCAGTAATATTTTCTTGCAAAACATCACCTCCCTGAAAATGACAATATACTGATAGAATTTAAAAACATACTTTCAGTTGTAATATTAAAACTATTGGTGAAATTTACCTGATTTCTAACGTTTATCAGTAATTGTAAATTCGATGGTTTTATTAAACTTATCAAAATAATAAATGAAACGATATCACGCATTTTAATGATCTAAGACTTAACTAAACATTAAAATTCTGCTATTTACCGGTCTAACATAAAAATACGTTCCACTTTGCATATGAAATGAAAATAATAACAAAATAATTTAAAGTAAAACGGGAGTCATTGGCCATTTGACATATTGAGTATTGACTGTGAAAAGTGAAAACTAGAATACTGAACTGCCACAGAATAATAACGATAATCTCACCGCTGACCGTATTTAAATTCATTCAATAACAATGTTTTTAATTATATATAAGATTCAGAAACTACCTCCTAGCTTACATAGTATCTTATACTTTTGATGAAACAGACATTAGCTTATTGCAATGGAAATAATTTCGACTTTACAAAAATTTCTGTAAAGTTGTTTTTTTTATATTCTGTGGATATTTTTTTTTAAGTTACAGAATAAGATGTGTACCTAATGCACCTACGCGCTTTCGTAGTTCGTCGTCCCTATTGTTTTCTATGTATAGACAGCTGTCGTTGATCGTTCATTTTCAGCTGATTTTTGTGTACGCTTTGTAAAAGCAGTGGAGATTCATAATAATACCCAAATAAACCATTAGAAAAGTGTTTTTGATTAACTTAGATAGAAATTCTCCGAAAGAAGTGTGTTGTTGGCACAAGCGAGAAAGCCTTTGGAAAAGAACAAAGAGTGATGGTGAATTGAGTGCGAGTGAAGAGCAGCGGGCGTGACGTCACGCGCGGACGAGGCCGATGCGGCGGGGATCGTGACCGGAGGCGCGCGGCGAGCACGCGCAGCCAGCCTGGCCTCCAGTGACTCGGGAGACGAGGGCCAACGGCCGCCGCGCAAGCGCTCGCGGAGGCAGTCGCCACCACCGAATATGCACCAACCGTGCACGAACGGGGCGCACCTCAACGGGGATTCTGTGCGCAATGGGGACCTGGCTCCCACACTGCAGATGCCCACTACTGACCAGGAAATTGTCCGACTCATTGGACAGCACCTGGTCTCTGTTGGACTTGAGTAAGTGAGATTTAATTTCAACTATCAGCTACATATTTTCTTCTACATAACTTCTATGGCATGTAACAGCTTATCTATTTTAAGACACAGATATTTTAATTCAATTGAGAATATTTTCTTTGTTTATGTAAAAAAACATTTTTTCCTTCCAAGTAAACGGAGTTTAACTTACAATCTATTATTTATAAAAAAACAAAACCTGGATTGGGCAATACATTTAATGGATGTCCATTCTAAAAAAATCTACATTTCTAATAATATCTTCAAACATTTCCACATACAAATAAAAGAAAACAACAGCGATTGTGTTATCTTTTCTTTTACTCACAATTTCAATCAAGGTGATAAGTGAGTCTACAACAAAGTCAGGAATTTTAAGATAATTTGTTTTGTACAGCTATAATTATGTATCAAATAATAATTACATTTTCTTCTGATGTTTGTATATGTGATTTTCATTTATATTTTTAGACATAACTCATATAATATTTATATCTGTGAGAGTTGTTTGTTCATCATAAAGACACACAGAAAATGAATGTTTCAACAAAACATTCACTGCATGACTTGTAGTTATGAGAGCCGATACATGCCAAGATTAATAATATCTACAACTTTTATAATAAAAGGTTGTGTTTCATATAATAATATATTAGGTTCTTTGTTTTTTTTGAAATAGTATACTTGACTTTCCACATAATATTTTTTGTTTGTTTTAGTAATTTATTCAATTCAGTATGTATTATTTTATAGGTGTATTGATCATAAATTATATTTATCATTAAGGATGTTGAAGGCCATATCAAGGTTTAGTTGTGTGAGTGTTACATTAAATTGTAGTTATTATTATTAATGCTTCATTTTAATAACAATATTATATTTCTGGGTTTTCCTAATGAATTAAAACCTTATGCATTATCTTGATACATTAAGTTATAAATATATATTAGACTATCAGTATGATTCTTCTTACTATTGATATTTGTAATGGTGCATTATAAATTTTTGCATTGCAATTACTTGTATTAATGAAATTTCTATTGCTATTTATTATCTCCATAAACAATGACTTGATCCTTACTTTTAAAACTAGTTGTAGTTATAATCTTCATTAAATATCCCACATATATATTGTATGCAATTATTGTATATAAGTAATACAGTATTTATAGTTATTTCACTTTTAAGTATTATTTTTGTGTTTGGATAAACAAGCGTTGTAAAACTGAACCACACGAACAAGTTAAAGATAAAAGCCAGTCACGTTACTACGTACGTGCTGAACTAGTGTTCAGACTCATTTAATTTAATTGAAAATACTGTTTTGATGTGATTTGATACGATGATTATTGTTTGACAACAGACGTAGCGCGGCCCTCCTGATGGAGGAGTCTGGGCTACACCTGGAACACCCGGCGGCAGCCACGTTTCGGCAGCACGTCCTGGCTGGTGACTGGGTCAAGGCCGACCATGATCTGCGCGCGCTGCACGACCTGTTACGTGACTCACCGCATCGCGACACACACAATCTCTCAGTAAGCTCAGCACTATTTGCTACTTCTGTTAGGTGCAAGGAAATAAGTGTAGCGTAGTCCTAAAACTCTCATGACAATTTTAATTTGATTAATAAACAAGTCGACATCACTTTTTATGCCTTTCAAAATATGCTATACACAAAATACTCGATAGTACATAATAATAAACGAATCAAATCGACTTTTAAAAGGTTTTTGTAATCTCTATTGTTGTAGGAAATGAAATTCGTGGTGCTGGAGCAAAAATATCTAGAGCATCTCGAGGCAGGGCGTGTGCTGGATGCGTTGCACGTGCTGCGAAATGAATTGACTCCGCTGCAGCACGACACGCCGCGCGTGCACAGATTGTCCGCGCTCATGATGTGCGCCGACGCAGGCGAGCTACGAGCGAGAGCGCAGTGGGCCGGCGGCTCGACCTCGAGGGCAGCGGTGTTGGCCCGCGTGCAGGCCGTCCTTCCGCCCGCGCTCATGATGCCGCCCGCCCGCCTTCGTGCTCTCCTTGCTCAGGCTGCCGCCCTGCAATCGCAGCGCTGCCGTTTCCACGCCGCCCCGCGACCCTCGCCGGACCAAACTGATCACATCCCCTTCTCTCTACTCGCCGACCATCAATGCTCGGCTGACCAGTTCCCGATACACTCTTTACAGGTATATTACTAATTAATATTGAATTACAATAGTACTGGTAATACATAAGAGTATTTGAAGTCCGCAAACTATTATATGATTAATCTTCTAATATATAAAACTCTCGTGTCACAATGTTCGTTCCCATACTTCTCCGAAATGGCTCGACCGATTCTTATGAAATTTTTATGCATATTCAGTAAGTCTGAGAATCTGAAAACATCTACTTTTCATCCCCCTAAATTTTAAGGGTGGTCAAACCCTTAAATTTTTATTTTTTAAACAAAACTTTTAAAAACATACAACCCTTAAGTATCATCCCTCTACGATCAACCCCAGAGATAGTTATTTTTATTGAACTAAAAAAATGTTTCCTAGAAATAATATACATGGCAAAACGTTTGCCGGGTCAGCTAGTTATGTTATAAAGCCGCATCCCGAGAGGCCAATCAAAAAAGCGGAAGAACTTCCTTCTTTTAATTTGCCCTAAATAATTGTATTAAAACTGCCCGGCATCAGGGTCTTGGGGAGGGGGCCCCCCCCCCCCCCCCCCCTTGTACTTCACTCTACATGGTACTTAGGTACTAAACGAGCACTGTGACGAAGTATGGTACTGCAAGTGGTCTCCGGATGGATCCAAATTGGCATCAGGTTCTAAGGACCACACTGTCATGATATGGGACTTTGATCCTGTAGCCAAGAGACTATCCTTCAGGTAATGATTAATAATTTCATTTAAAAAAAAAAACAATTAAATTAAAACTTTTTTAAATATATTTATTGTCATGTTTTTTTGTACATGCATGTTCTGTGCTTTCTCTGTGAATGTCTATGGTATATGTATATTTTTCCTTCTAAATACATAAAAACATTAATAAAAAATGCTATAATACTTATATTTTTAGGAAAAATACTACGCGTCCTGAGTGTATTCATGAATTTGGTCACACGGAAATATTAATTATTTATTAATTTATAATGCCTATAAACTGGATATCTCGGTTAAATTCACTATTTGTGTAATTGAGGTTGTAACTCACGACTAATTTTGAATTAAAGGTGTGATATTAAATTACTGAACTAATTAGTTTAAAAGACTACTCTTATATTATTAATTTATAATGCCTATAAACTGGATATCACGGTTAAATTCACTATTTGTGTAATTGAGGTTGTAACTCACGACTAATTTTGAATTAAAAGTGTGATATTAAATGACTGAACTAATTAGTTTAAAAGTCTACTCTTATATTATTAATTTATAATGCCTATAAACTGGATATCACGGTTAAATTCACTCATTTGTGTAATTGCCAGGTTGTAACCTCACGACTAATTTTTAAATTAAAAGTGTGATATTAAATGACTGAACTAATTAGTTTAAAAGTCTACTCTTATATTATTAATTTATAATGCCTATAAACTGGATATCACGGTTAAATTCACTATGTGTGCAAATTGAGGTTGTAACTCACGACTAATTTTGAATTAAAGGGAGTGATATTAAATTACTGTACTAATTAGTTTAAAAGTCTACTCTTATATTATTAATTTATAATGCCTATAAACTGGATATCACGGTTAAATTCACTATTTGTGTAATTGAGGTTGTAACTCACGACTAATTTTGAATTAAAGGTGTGATATTAAATTACTGTACTAATTAGTTTAAAAGTCTTCTCTTATATTATTAATAGCCGTCTATCATGTGTTGGTACACGGGAAATATTTTGGCCTGGCAATGTTTTTGCTCTATTAGTTTGGAAAGTATTACGCAATAACAATGCAGATATTATTGTAAACAATTGCCATTACATTAAACATCAGCAAGAGAGGATCTAGAGCTCGCATCAGTACATCTTTTCATGATTTACCTGTTCTTGTCCAGTCGTGGGGCAATCTTTTTTTTATGATTTACCTCTTCTTGTCCAGACCCAGTCGTGGGGCAATCTTTTCATATTTACCTCTTCTTTCCAGACCCAGTCGTGAGCAATATTTTCATGATTTACCTCTAGTCAGACCCAGTCGTGAATATTTTCATGATTTACCTCTTGTCAGACCCAGTCTTGGGGCAATCTTTTCATGATTTACCTCTTCTTGTCCAGACCCAGTCGTGGGGCAATATTTTCATGATTTACCTCTTGTCCAGACCCAGTCGTGGGGCAATATTTTCATGATTTACCTCTTGTCCAGACCCAGTCGTGGGGCAATATTTTCATGATTTACCTCTTCTTGTCCAGACCCAGTCGTGGGGCAATCTTTTCGTAGAAATACTTTAGGCAGATTTGACCAATTTACTTTGTCAAACTGTATGATCGATATGACCAATGGAATTTGTATGAAAAAAGTCACGTTCCCAAATATTGCAATGTGTGTTACGCCCTTAAGTAATTGTCCCAGACAGGAATATCTCATCATATTGATCGGTGTTCTACAGGAAATCCCTGGAGGGTCACTTGTACGGGGTGTCATATCTGTCGTGGAGTCCCGATGGCCGCTACCTCATCGCCGTTGGACCAGAGGACTGTCCCGATTTATGGATATGGAATATGGAGGTAACATTTTACACGTAGTTTTTAGTATATTTTACGGAAAATAAATTGAACTGACGAAAGTCGAAGTTTTTCTTTCTATATCTCGTGAGATAAATATTTACTATAGACAAACGGATAAAAGAAAACAGTTTCTGTTTCTTTATATTTTTTTCTGAATTGAAGTCAGAACCTCCAAGTACTGCCACATTCGTATCACTAAACCAAAGCAAACTTAAAGGTTAACTTATTCCAAAACGTCCGAAACTAAAACCTTTGCATCATCTAAGGACCAATGAATTTTCTCTATTAACACCAAACAATCTTATTACAGACGGAACAGCTTCACCTGAAGATGACTCACTCCCAAGAGGATTCCCTAACGGCGGTGGCTTGGCACGCGACTTCTGACAAATTTGTATGCGGCGGTGCACGGGGCCAGTTCTACCACTGCACGCTCGATGTAATTATTTTTTCCAATATAGATAGAATATAGATAACTAATTAATATAGTGTGCAAATATTAAAATTTTAATTTACTACAGTTTAATTATTGTGTATTAAAATATGAGCCCAAACCAAAATATAAGATAATAAGATGAATAAGATAATTTTATAAGAGTAAAAGTTGTCAAAGTGACAACATGAAAAAAAATACTTATGAGAATTTAGAAATAAAAATTGATTAAATTAAATGGAATATGATGCAAAATGATGATATTTAATGCGTAAAAAATGGAAATAAACAAAATCAAGAAAAAATTTAATTACGTAAAGTCTAAGAAACGGACAATTTAATAGTGGTCAGACAAATTTGCTTCTTCCTAAACCTTAACTATATTTTCTCAGTGCTCTTGCTTGTGCTCTTCTGCTTTTGCTTGTGCTCCTGCTTCTTCTTGTGTTGTGCTCCTGCTTTTTGCTTGTGTTGTGCTCCTGCTGATGTCTGTGTGTTTATTTTATTTTCATATTTTCTTTGTATATATATATATATATATTATTGTCACGTATTTAAGTTAATTTAAGGTTATTTAAGTTTTTTTTTTTTTTGACTTATTTTAAGAGTACTAATTTTGTATTTTTCATAAACGCGGAGTGGAGTGTACATATGGAAAATTTGACCTTGACCTATGTAAAAAAGTTTTAATACAATCCGGGGCTTAAAAATACACAAAACAAAATAACAGAGACACTATACAAAATTCACAAATTTCTTTTAATAACAGCACACCAGACCACATAAAACTTCAAACTTTACTTCGAATTTAAAAAAACAGTCAGTTGTTAAACCATACCTCGAGGTGCCCGGATCTCCATCGCCTCTTATAGATCATATATTACCAATGCATAACAGAAAACAGTACAGACTCATGGGAGAAACTATTGACTTTTCCTTATAGTTTCTTGCATGTACAGTCCAGTGATAACCTTTCGCTAACTCAAAAACTTAAAAACAATTGTAATGATCCCACATGTATAAATCCATTTTGATTCCGGCTATTAGAACCTTTCGAAAAAAGACCAAAATTGTCTCAAAAATAGTTGAACAAAAATTAACGAGGAGCCGCCAGACTTCTTTTCTCAAATGATGTACTGGCCCTTGACACCCCGGATACACTTGCAGCTCTTAGTCAAAGCACCCCAGTGCTCCAGACACACCTTTTTTTAGACCCTCCCACAGACGTCCAGGCCTGCCTTCAAATTCAGTCTACGGATGAAATTCTAAACCTATAAATTCGTTTAAACCAGGATCAGCTGCAGGCTTGGATGGGCTGTCACCCCAACATCTTAAAGATTTAACTTCATTCAGTGTTTGTGATACAGGTGCTAGGCTTTTAGAAGCTCTTAAAAAACTCGTAAATAAAATGCTTTCGGGGAGATAAACAAGCTATTGCTCCTATTTTTATGGGGCAAACTTGGTGGCTCTTACCAAAAAAGATGGTGGGGTGAGGCCAATTGCTGTAGGTAGCACTTTTCGCAGATTAACCACGAAAATTTCAGTAAAACATATAATTAGTAAATTGAACAAAATTTTTGAACCAACACAACTTGGCTTTGGCACTAAAGGTGGATGTGAAGCTGCTATACACGCTTTGCGCACGCTTTTTCTAACGAAAAATTCGATGTGTTGTTGAAAGTTGATGTCAAGAATGCATTTAATTCAATCAGCAGGGACACCTTGCTGACTAAGTCTTTGAAAACATTCCAGAAATATATAACTATCTTTTACAGTGTTACTCAGACCATCAAAATTAACATACAAGAGTTACGAACTCTCTTCAGAAGTTGGTTGTCAACAAGGTGATCCTCTTGGGCCGGCTATTTTTAGTCTCGCAATAAATTCTTGCATACAAAATTTAAAATCAAATTTTAACGTCTGGTATCTTGACATGGTACTCTAGGAGGTAACGCAGATGTAGTACTTTCAGATCTATCTAAAATAATATCAGATTTTAGTTCAATGGGTCTAACTTTAAATTTTGATAATTGTGAAATATATCTCCATGGTGAGAATATGGACACAACATACAATAAAAAAATTAATACCTTAGCCCCAAATATAAAAATAATAAATAAAAAATCGCTGTACCTCTTAGGAGCACCGATTTCAAAGAAGGTTTTGAAGAATAATTAACTCGAATATAAAATTTAAACCACCGTCACCGTCACCTCACGTCTTCTGATATTACAGCACACTCAGCTTTGTTCATTTTAAAATTCTGCCTTTTTATTCCCAAATTAACTTACGTACTTCGCTGTAGCCCTCTATGGAATCATTCAGTTTTTTTAAGTGATTTGGATAATCTTTTAAAAACTTCTTTGGAATTATTTTAAATGTTCGTTTTGATACACCTTCTTGGAATCAAGCATCGCTTCCTGTTCGCTTGGCGGATTAGGAGTACGCAAGATAACAAGTGTAGCTCTTCCAGCGTTTCTCTCATCTGCTCACAAATCTAGCAGTCTGGTAGGTAAAATCCTTAGATATTATTCTACAAACTACAGATTGCGGATTTAACAGATGCAAGAAACGCGTGGATAACATCCAACCAGGTTTGAGTTTGCCTTCTAGCGTCAACTTTCAAAGAAGCTGGGATGATCCTCTTTGCAAATGTGAATTCAAAAAGTTATTAGGTCACATTCCAATAACAGACCGTGCAAGGTTGATGGCTGTGGGGTCTAGGGAAGCTGGACATTGGCTTAATGCTTATCCTTCGCCAAACACTGGCACCCTTTTAGACCCTGAATACTTCAATTGCCAAGCTACGCTTAGTAGTGCCCATATGTACGGGGGAGTACAGTGCCCATAAGTGTCCCTGTGGTTTTGAAGTAAGTAGCCTTGGACACCATGGCCTACACTGCCAAAAGAGTGCAGGTCGTTTTCTCGCCATGCCGCGCTAAACGACTTATACGCCGCTCTCTTGCCTCTGTCAATGTTCCAGCAATTTTGGAGCCAACAGGCATCGCAAGAGACGTTGGCAAGCGGCGGATGGTGTCTTTGATCCCTTGGAAAATGGGACGGGCTTTAGTATGATATGCTACCTGTGTAGACACCTTTGCCCCGTCTCATCTCCTCGGACAACAAAAAAGCTGGCGCGGCCGCAGAACAGGCAGAAATTAACAAACGGCACAAATATAAGAGTCTTTCCTCCAACTTCAATTTTGTTCCTTGGAGTAGAGACTCTTGGGCCGTGGGGTTCAAGTGCACAGGCGCTTATTAAAGATTTAAGTTGGCGCCTGGTAGATAGTACCGGTGACCACAGAGCTGGCACTTTCCTGGCTCAAAGAATAAGTCTCGCAATACAGCGAGGAAATGCTGCCAGCGTTAAAGGTACACTGCCACAGGGACCAAACTTTTTAAATTTGTTTTGATTTTCTTCTTCTTCTTTAATTATTTTTACTATTACTTTATAGGTTAAGAACATTGTAAATACTGTATTTGTGTAAATAAAAAGAAATACTTTATAAACTAAAAAAATAATAATAATAATAATTAGATAAAAAAAAATAAAACTTTAGATGAATTATATATTGGTAAAAAGCTATTTGGTTTGGTATACTGAAAATCTACTGTTTATTAATTTAATTTATCTGTAACGTAGAACCGTAAGTCACCAAAAATTTCCCAAATTTTTTTTTAATTTTTCATATTTTTTGTGTACGCGTTTACGGCACATTCAAATAAAATTGCATTAAGTACTGGATATAATGAATGAATACAACACGACATTTCTGTGTAATGTATTGAATATGACATACAAATAACTTTGAAGTTATAATTTGAAGGGTCTTAGGGACCCTTAATGTTGCCAAATTTGCATTTATTTGCGTTTATATCCATAATATAAGAAATGTTATTAAATCAATATTATTGTATCAGGGCACTTTGATAAACAACTGGGATGGCGTGCGTGTGAACGCGCTAGCGTGTCGTGCAGATGGCGCTGTACTCGCAGCTGATACTCATCACCGCGTCAGGGCCTACTATTTCGCAGACCTCACTGATAGGAACCTGTGAGTACACAACATAAAAGTGCGTGCGTACAAAGTACACATGTCGGAAGTGAAACTTCTTTGGCAAAATTAATTTTTAACTATAGTTCATATTTATACAAATCTACATCTTTAGATATCCGAGACTTAGAGGGAGGGAAAAAGGTAGTTACGTAAGGAATTTAATTGTCATTAAAATAATAAGTGTCGAAAATTAATACAAATAATAAATTTTTTTTTTTTTTTTTTTCCCCAAAAAAAAAAAAAAAAAATTTTTTTTTTTTAACACGTGGCATTTTAATTTACTATTCGTCATTTGAGATTTCAAATTTTAGAAATATAAAATACTAAATTCTCTTTACGAAATTTTAATTTTAAATATAGAATTTCTATAAGGTAATTCGCCCTTCTCACTCTCTCTCAATCAGTCTCAATCGCTCTCTCCCTTTTCTTCGACAAAAACGCTGCACATCTTTGTGACGCTAATATTATTGTTATTGCGTTTCATCCGTAAAAAAATTACCCTCATGCGCCTACTGAGGTTAAGTTTCACTTCAAAAATGACACTTAAGATGGCTATTGGTCGAAACAAATATAACTTGAATGGGTGAAAGATAAATTAATATTCATATGAATAGTCATATTACTATAATTGCTCCTATAGTATGCGCGTTGTAGCATGATGCTGGTGACAGTTTCGGTAACGTTTCGTTTCACTCTTTAAAGATGCCGCGATTTACAAATTATGACTTAGTATTTCAGCTGTACCACATTCGTAATATATTAAAACATTAATAACTGTATTAACTTAAATTTGACCCAGCCAGAATGTTCTAGTCTAGTCATTTTATGAAGGAATCGTAGGAACAGAAAATAAATTACCCGTCAACCAACCAATAAAAAACGATGTTAATATCATCTAATACTATTTTGGTTCTTGTATAACATGATTGTATTTCATTATTTATCCGTGTGGACTTTGGAGGAAGGATGGTGTACTGTTCCTCCTAGAGGATCCTCGACAAGTCTTAACCGCTGACTGGCCGGAGCGAAGCCTCCAGTATATATTCTTAGCGGTCGGAATAACTTTGTGAGCGCGTTATGGATATGATGTCATTGTAGTTATTCCTAGGCAACTATTGGCCGTGTCGCTACATAGCCATAACGATGACGTCATAACCTGAATCGCACTAACGAAGTCTTTCTAACCGCTGCCTTATAAACAACTCGACCTTAGCCACTAGAGCTCTAGGGGCCGAACAGTACGTACTGGTCGAGGATCCTCTTCGGCGGATCCAGAGGAACCGCATTCCTTCCTCTACATTCTACAAAATTGTCAGTACCTTTTTTATCTACTCGTAAAAATTACGACATATTTTAATACATTCGTCTGTTCTGAAGCATGTGATGTGAATTTGCAGTATTCAAGAGGAACACGCGGTTATGGCGATGACCTTGAATGCGGCGGACACTCTTCTTTTGCTCAACGTCGCCAACCAGGGCGTACATCTTTGGGACGTCCGTGAGTATACTCAACACTTATAAAACTTGGACTAGTCATTACGGTATTTGTTACCGTTATTGTTAGTTCCCGAGTGCGTTCAACCAAATAAACTCATTATAGATAGTGCAATCCACGAAGACGCGCCCCACTATTCCTTCTAACCATTCATAGTATATGCTATTTTATATTCTTTAACCGACTACAAGGAAAGAGTTCTCCATCGAGCATCAGTGAGTTTTTCTGCATAATTTTTACTTGAAATCATAAACTTTAGAAATAATTTCTCTTGCCTTAAAATTAAAAAAAATTTTAATCGTTTTACTTACTTTTAAAGATAAAATGAAGTCTTTTAGTAAAATATGCTATTTTCAAAATTAAATTACTTTTTTTTGCTTATTTCATGTGTTTTAGTAACTATAAACAATAATTTACATACCTATTTTAAGTACAACACGCTGAGATTTTCTCGACATTAAAAAAAATATAAAGTAGAGCAACTTTCGTGACGACTGACGCTCGGAGCAAACTCCCCGCACCACGCAATCCCCTCAAACAAAAATTAGTGGGGCGCATCTTCGTGAATTGCACTATCTTTACTATACATCATAATGGTAACAAATATGGTATCATAACCCGTGTTTTATATGCATAAATGAAACAATTTTCCTGAAAATAGAATTTCCAAAAATACATGGACTTTTAGTATAAACCCTTAATTTATTGCACTGGCCGACTCATTTCACTATACGTCGCTAAATTTTAATCGATGTCAGTGTAGTTTTAAATGTCTTTACTGTGTCATGTATACAACATCTGGTAGTAATTGCTAAATTATTGAAAAATGTGCTAAGTATGCTTTTTGCGTTCGCCACATTAATCTTAAATATTATTTGTGGATAATAAAAAGGTATCTTCTGGCAATTTAACATGTTTTAATAAACCAAAAGGAAACAACATACTTTAAGATTATTTCATCAGAATATTCAAGGTTGCTCTTCCAAATTACTGAAATAGAAATGTTTTTAGAAAAAACCAAGTTCGATTATTTGTTTAACTGAACATTGGTTAAATGATCATCAGATATATCTTAATTATGAAAATATTTTAGTTAGCTATTTCAGCCGGAAGTGTATGATACACGGTGATCATTAATATTATCAAAAATTCTGTTAAATCTAAAGAAAGGAAAGACATTATCAGATTGTCAGTTGAACATTCTATAGAGTTGTCTTGTGTCGAGCTCATAGGCATGTTGTAGTATGTGTTTACAGACCCCCGGGCTATCAGAATCTATCTGTATTTGATTCTGTAATGGAAGATTGTTAAAAAAACTTAGTACTAGTATAAATCATCACATAAGTGGTGATTTTAATATTAACTATTAGAAACAAATCAAATAGTATCAGATTAATAAGTCTTTTTAAATCATTTAATCTGTCAATGTTTTTATGGAACCAACTAGAGTGACAGCTTCTTCTCCACTTGTATAATAATATTTTTGTAATTGTGATTACTTACAAAAAAATTGTTAATAAATTGCTTCTGATACAGTGGAAAACAATCGGTGCCTAATACCTTACAAAATTCAAAAAGGTTAGGCCAATTACATGTAAATTTAGAGAAATTAAATAATACCTTGACCAGTAAATTGTGTGTTCAAAATTAATAATATTTGGGACCTAATGAGTTCTATGCGGAGTTTTTACCTTGTTAAAATCGCAAAATGACATTGTTCCACAAAAGACAAAAGTATTTACACCAAGTTCTTATTTAGTGATTGGGCGACTCAGGTATTCTAAGAGCAGGGATAAATTTTTGAACTGTATGGCCTAAGGCAACATGTAAAAAATACAAACTTACAGCATGTTGCGAAATATTCAAAAACTTAAAAGTGTGTCAAAATTGCTAAAGACTGTATATTAGTAATAAAATAAAATCAGGGATGACAAAATAAAAACTACCTGGCAAATTATAAATAATGAAACTGGTAAAAAAACAGTAATATGAATTTAACTTAGAGATACATGGCCCAATAAACTCAATGCAGAAATAGCTCAAATTTGAAAACTTTATCAATATTCCCTTTAAAACTACCGAAGCTTTAAGTTCATCATCCGCACTTTCTTTTGCTTACTTACGAAGAATGTGAGGGCATGCCCTACGGAGTTTCGATTTCAATATACAAACCCCAGGCTTTATGAAAGCTTTTAAAGATCTTAAAATTAAATCTACAAAGATCTTTGGGGATTGTCTGTAAAAGTCTGTAGTTCTATCATCGAAACTATTGCGCCTTATTTGCTTTCATATTTAACACCACATAGCAGGAGTCTTTCGGATCTCATGAAACACAGTAAAGTAGTTCCGTTGTTCAAATCCGGTATAGTAAAGAACCAATAATTATAGACCTGTGTCAATTCTGCCAGCTCTCAGTAAGGTGTTTGAAAAGTTAATGCTCAATCAAATGTATGTCACTTTAATAAAAATCCATCTTTCATGAACAACAGTACGGTTTCACCAAAGGGCGTTGTACAACTGACGCCGGTGTCTCCTAATCAAGAACATTTTTAACGCTTGGGAGGAAGCACAAGTGCCATTGGAATCTTTGCGACCTTTCGAAAACGTTCGATTGCTAAACCATGAGACTCTTCTGCTGAAACTTAATCACTACGGGATTAAGAAAAAGCTCTGGATTACTAAGATCTTACTTGAAAAACAGACAGGTTAAAGTTCAGTTAACGCATAAACTCGTTAGGGTCTGAAATTACAATGGGCGTTCCTCAAGGTTCAATATTGGGTCCATTCCTCTTTTATACATAAATGATTTACCCCAATTAGTTCAGAATAAACCGAAGATGGTGTTATTTGCAGATGAAATCATTGATTTTTAAAGTAGATCGACGGTCACAAAATCGTGACGACGTGAATAACTCTATTCTTCGGGTCCAAAATTGGTTTACGGTAAACAATTTGCACTGAATGAAAAAAAACTAAATGTATTAGATTTACGTTGCCAAATGTTAAAAGTAAGGAATGTGAATAATGTTGAATAAGGAAAACTGGAATTTATTAATCAAACGGTTTTCCTAGGCATCACCTAGACAAAGTTACAATGGGGACCTCATATACATCTCTTGCGGGCGCTGAGTCAGCCGTTTATGCGGTTAGAAAGATAAGATATTTAACAATGTAGAAATGCGCGTTTGGTCTATTTTAGCTACTTTCACAGAAATGTCTTACGGCATTTTACTGTGGGGTCGCTCTACATGAATCCATTTTTATTTTGCAAAAGAGAGCGGTCAGGGCCATTTATAATCTACGTCGTTGCGAATCTCTCAGGGAACTATTTAAAAAATTAATATTATGACAGTACCTTCATATGAAAATATTATGTATTAAGAAAGAACTACATCTTTTAGTAAAATAAATGAAAGACATAATTTTATACTAGAAATAAAGATAAAATAGTCAACCATCTTTCAATTAGCAAAGTTCAAAATTCATTTATGGGGTACTTTAAATTTACAATAAAATACCTTGTGACATTTTAAAACTAAATGAAGAAAATTTAAATGTTTTATTAAAAGTACACTTTTAAACAAGCATATTACAAATTAGATGATTATATTCAAAAGAATGCTTGGAAAATGCTGGTCCTGCTCATAGGAAATCTATGATTGGCTCTATAGCTGGAAAAATCAAATTGGTTGCTGATTTTTGCTTTAACATATTTTTGTTATTATTATTATTATTTTTTTAATTTATATAATGCTACAAATGTAATTATTTTTTTTTTTTTTGTATCTCACACACTGTTTTGTTGTGTTTTTTAATATTTTTATTACTCTTTAATGTTAATATTCTAAGGTTTCGATATTTGTAAATATGTGAGGAAATTATATAACTTTTTAGTATAGTAGTTTATTCTAAGAGTACATTGTCTTCACATATAATTATTTAAAATGTAAAAAATATTGTAAACCTATTTAAAAGAGTAAGTGTGGAGTTTCTTCCCATTCTTCTCCAAACTACTTGGAAGGGCAACTAATATCTTTATATTTTTTTGACGTTCAAAAGTGCCTTGGTCTATTGAAATAAACGATTGACTTTGACTTTCAATAAAGAAAAATATCAAATTTTATTAACACAATTTATATTAGACCTAAACTACATTAAATCCCACTTATGTTACCATGGTAACGATGTTTCTTCAATGATTACTCATAATCATGGTAATTTAGTCTATAGGTAATATAATAGTCTAAGGCCAAACAATAAGTAGTACATTTTTCTGCCTGAATATAATCCGCGTACTAAAATTAATACAGTCAAAATCTGTTCTAAAGACATCGAATCTCATATTTGGTCGTAAAAACCGATATCGAAGTAGCTAATACAATAGAATTCAGCCGGAACCTTTGATTTTGGTCAATATAACCGGCATGTTCTAAACGGTTTTGACTGTACATCTAATTCTAGGTTTTTGTTATAACATGTGTCAGTGGTCCAAATAAAATCATCCACATTTAGTACTATGGCTGATTAAGTTGTGATGGGCTGGTATTGAAAATGTATGTATATAGGTGCGCGTGCGCTGGTACGTCGATTCCGTGGTCTGTCCCAGGGCCATTTTACCATCCACGCCTGCTTTGGCGGAGCGCACCAGGACTTCGTCGCCTCTGGCAGTGAAGACAATAAGGTGAGATAATTATGTCAACCTGAAAGATGTTCAGCCAGTTGATCAAACAGCTAGGCAAATGACTTGGATCGATGACGTTTAATTAATTGCCTAGTCTGTTTGACTGTTAATTTAAAATTAATTTCCTTTCTGGACGCCCCCAAACGTAACTCTTCAAACTTGGCAAAGCACAAGTGATGAACAACAAGTACAATGAAAGAGTGTAGTGACAATAATAATGTGAATTTGACTCAAGCAAATTAATTTTAAAAGAAATCTTTTTTTATGTCATGTTTCATCTTTTTATTTCCGCCAAATAATGACTCTATCGTACGAATGGCCTAAGCATTAGCCAGTCAGTTTATGAAATGTTGTAACAAACGCTACAGCTGAATATCTTTCAGGCCGCTAGTTAAACGGCGCCGTTTAGGTAAAAGGCTAGGCTGTTAATTGAACGGCTAATTAAGCAAGCTGGCTGCGACATATATACAAGCACTGAGTAAAATTAAATAAAAAAAGTTTTAACCTCATAAAAAATCCTAATTGGCGTAATTATTTTAAAAAGGTTAATTTTAGGCATACTATTTTGAATTTGCTTTTCAGGTGTACATCTGGCAGATAGAACACGAAGAACCGGTAGCGGTACTTGCAGGTCACACACGCTGCGTCAACGCCGTGGCTTGGAACCCTGTTCACCACGACGTGCTGGTGTCAGCCTCTGACGACTACTCACTGCGCCTATGGGGACCACGCCCTCACTAATGCATCTGTCACGTATTCTGCTATTCTCCGTGATACCTTTATCATTATTATGACAATTTACATAACAATAATGAATTGAAATCTAATACTTTGTGGATATTTAAAGATATTTGCAACCGCATAGCCCTAGGCAAGAACCTATGTATGTCCTTTGAAAATGGATGGAGCACTATTGCCGAAATATATAAAATTTATGAAATCATAAAAGTGCTCCATATTTTTGATGTCTATTTATATAGAAAGCAAAAATAATCTATGATTTTTTTCATGAGCATCTGCACAAGAAAAAATTACATGAAAGAAAATAACCATCTTTATTACTGAATGTGAACATAGTCAAAAATATATAAACAACATTACAACAATTATTTATATTATATTTTAAAATTTAATTTCTATTTAAAAAGTTTTAAAAGATTAAGGGTCTGTTTCACACTGTACGGATAAGTTCCACATATCCAAATTAGCTATTTATTACTTATTGGTAGGATAAACACAAGTCTTGCGTTTCACGACTGTCAGATAGCGCTAATCGTCACATAAAGTCCATCATAAGTTATGAGTCCGATGAAGTGTCAAATAGCACAATTTATCTTCCAAATAATTTATGTGTTGCATAGCTATTTAGTACTTTATCCATACATTGTGAAACAGACCCTAAATGCAATCAAAAATTCTACTGTCAAGTGCAATACTTCTTAAAAAACATTTAATTTTTACTTTTACACATTAAACATTTGCACTTTTAATTGTATCTTTGTAGGACATCCCTACAAACATAATCAAGAAACACGTTTAAAAAGCCGAAATTTATTTATTTATTTTATTTATTAACACTTCGTTGCAAAAAACAATAAATCAAACAATACAAAAAAAAAATATAAGGGATGCAACGGGCGGCCTTATCGCTAATAAGCGATCTCTTCCAGGCAACCCTAGTTAAAGAAAAAACTAAAAAAAAACATGATTCAAATAAAATGTGATTATAATGTCAAAGGTTCACAGAGTGAAAAGGTTATAAATTGTGTTCGTTAACAAATTTTGAATAACTAATATTACGTCGAAATTTTGAAAATAGTGATCGGTTATATTTCAATACAAAAGTTTCACTATAATCTGTATTGGGATTGTCGCAAAGGGTAAGGGAACGCATCACGTGGCAACATCGAAGGATTTAAAAAAAAATTCAAATTTTTTAATTGTTTCTACATTAAGTAGGCAACATTTATGACGTCATCAGTTGCTTCGGGTTGCCCTATTCATTATCTAGATTATAATTAGACTGATAAAGAAATTAGATTAATTTAAGTTAAAAGTGTGGCGTAACAAAATTAGATGTATTTTATAAAGACTGTAATTTGGCACAATAATTGATTGCGGCTTATTGTTGGCTATTGATCGTGTGGTTAATCCAAATAAAAATTTAATATCTATTGAATTATCAGTTAAAACCAAACCATGTCCAATCCAATGGGCCAACTTTCGCTAATGCCTTATATCATAATCTTAAGAGTTCTTCCTTTATCCTTTGCTGAATAGTAATAGATAATGTTAAATAAGACTTAACTATAGACAGAGATAACTTGTATTAGGACACTATTTTTATACCGACCACGGCATCTCCGCGGAGACGTTCATTTTATTCAACAGAAAATAATTTCGAACAGGGTTCATATAAATCATGTAGTTTTAATTGAATGCTCGGCTCGCCACTCTAGCAAGCGGCTAATATTTTTCTATATAGTTTGTTTCTATTCAAAACATATTCATTTCAAGTACAAGACACTATTCAGCGCTCCGCTAGAGTGACGGCTCACTTTAGCTTTCCCGTTTATAAGTGTTGATTGTCACGCAAGGGCCATCCAAAGTAATCTCAACAGTTGGAATCATGACAACTCCAGGGTATTGATGACTACCAACCAAGCTGTTGTTCCTAAATAAATTACTCTATTTTCTTAAAGAAAAAATATCTTACAATTTATCTCAAAAAACCTTATATCTTCCCTGGAGTGTCTATACCAAATGAGCAGACAGTATGTGTACGTGTGTGTAGAAGTACAAAGAGTGAATGGTCCTATCTTGTAGGTAACATAGTTATAATATGAATAACAATAGATATAGAGGTGGTGTGTGCAGGCTAATGCCTTTTTCAATTGTTATATAATAAATATTATATCAATAAATTTTTATTAAAATAAATCTATCTAATAAAACAATCTTAACCCTTATTTTAGCACTTCCTAGTCATATTCTAGATCAGGTGTAATTGAATAGATACTAAAAGCATATTCCTCACAAAATAAAACAATTTTGCCTGATAACAATATGCATTAACATTAGGACATATTAAAATTTGAATTCTTTCATTTAAGAAATTGTGAATCCATTTTTTTTAAATACGTAAATCTAATTTTTCCTATATAATGGATTTATAACAAAATTTACTATATTAAATTGCAAGATGACTATCAAATTTAATAAT